ACAGACGCACTGGCACCTAGAGCAGCAGCCTCACTAGCACCTGACGCAGCAGTACCAATGCCCGGGTCGGGCGGGAAACACCGGTAACAGTCATCCTCATCACTACCAGTCACAGCATACATAGCAGAAAGAATAGCATCAAAGTCAAGATCATAAATGGCTACACCAGCCCTAGACAGCTCCCCCCAGCGGGGGATCTCAGCGGCCTCCGGAAACTGCTGACGCCAGGCGTCGGTCAGGCGGCCAAAGCAGCGGCGGGCTGCGTGGGTGCCTCCACACCTCTCCCCCGCACGGTCACCGGTGCGAAGAACGTAGGGGCAGGGACCAAACGCACCACCACGCTGACGCTGCAAGTACCACTCACGGAGCTGCTGAGGGGCGGGGACGGTGCGAGAGCGCTGCTGCTGCTGCTGCTGCTGCTGCTGCTGCTGCTGGCGCTGACCACCCCCAGAGCTGCTCCGCTGGGACGAGCCACTCCGACCCCCGCCGCCACCGCCACTCCCGCCTCCACCACCGCCCCCGTCTCCACCGCCACCGCCCCCACTGGTACCCTCGCCCCCGCCTCCTCCACTCCCGCCACCACCTCCACCGCCACCCCCACTCCCTCCGCCACCCCCACCTCCTCCGCCACTGCCCCCTCTAGCTCCACCCGCTCCCTTGCCCCCCTTGCATTTGCCAGAGCGGCGTCTACCGCTGGGGGCAGACGCCGCACCGACCGACTCAAAACCAGCGAGGTCGGCCGCAGCGGCAGAGGCGACAGAGGGCAGCAGGGGGGAAGGAGAACACCCCTCAAAGATGGGGGTGCGAGGGTCACCCCGAGAGGCCCCTAGAGCGACGATGCTCTTCTAAGCCGCTAGCAGGGACTCCTCAAGGAGGTCGACAGTGAGGGTGGTGGGACAGACAGAGAGAAACTGGTCCCTAACGACACGAAGGGACTCAGGGAGACGGGTGACGAGAAAGTAGAGAGTGATGTACATGGGAGGAGGGTTTGCGGCGCGGAACTCAGCAGGAAGGGCAGCGCGGTAGCGAGCGTCACTAGCGCGGAGGTGGGTAACGAGGTCAGCGACAGTGGGAAAGGCAGCGAGGTCAGGGAAGAGAAACGGTAGCATGAGGCGGCTCAGCGTAGCGGAGGAAGGGGAGGAGTAGCGTGCAACTACAGCGTCGTACAAGGCCTGAGCGGTCTTGCACTGACTAAAGTGGGCACGCTCGGAGGAAGGGAGGTGGCGACGCACAGCAAGACGTGCAGCAGCATCGCGTGTGGCCCACTTGGAGCGAACAGCAGGGTCAGCATCAGCAGGAGGGGCAGGGACAGCTCCAGAGACAAAGTCAAAGAGAGAAACCTCATCGATCGCATCGCACAGTAAGTACAGCTGGAGGTCCTCAATCCAGACTGGAAAGTCAATGGCGCGACCCTCAGCGTCAAAAGACAGGACACTGGGGGTGGCCATTGTAGCAGCTGATTGTCTCACCAGGCACGAAGAGTCGGGTAGTACAGCGGCTCAGCAACTCGGCAGAACAGCAGCTGCGCACGCCTCAGAGCAGCAGCAGCCACACAGGAGCAGAAGCTCGGCTCCTCAGGTTGCCCGGGCGGCTCGGGCGGCTCGGGTTGCTGGGGCGGCGCGGGCGGCTCGGGTGGCTCGGGCGGCTCGGGCGGCTCGGGCGGCTCGGGTTGCTGGGGCGGCGCGGGCGGCTCGGGCGGCTCGGGCGGCTCGGCTGTACGGGCGGCTCGTGCGGCGCGGGCGTCGCGACGGGCGGCTCGCTGGCGGCTCGCGGGCGGCTGCACAGGCGGCTCAGGGACGGCGGCGCGGGCGGCTCAGGGACGGCGGGTGCACGGGAGGCTCGGCGGACGGCGTACAGGCAGCTCACGGGCGGCTGCGACGGGCGGCTCGCGGGCGTCGGGCGCTAGGGCGCTGGGGCGACGACGGGCGGCGCTCAGGCGTCAGGGCGGGCGGCCGTAAGGGCGAAAGGGCGGGCGGCGCTCGGGCGCTAGGGCGAGCGGCGCACGGGTGCTAGGGCGGGCGGCCGTCAGGGCGCTAGGGCGGGCTGCGCTCGGGCGCTAGGGCGGGCGGCGCTCGGGTGCTAGGGCGGGCGGCCGACAGGGCTCTAGGGCGGGCGGCCGTCAGGGCGCTAGGGCGAGTGGCGCACGGGCGCTAGGGCGGGCGGCCGTCAGGGCGCTAGGGCGAGCGGCGCACTGGCGCTAGGGCGGGCGGCCGTCAGGGCGCTAGGGCGGGCGGCGCTCGGGCGCTAGGGCGGGCGGCGCTCGGGCGCTAGGGCGGGCGGCGCTCGGGCGCTAGGGCGGGCGGCGCTCGGGCGCTAGGGCGGGCGGCGCTCGGGCGCTAGGGCGGGCAGCCGTCAGGGCGCTAGGGCGGGCGGCCGTCAGGGCGCTAGGGCGGGCGGCGCTCGGGCGTTAGGGCGGGCAGCCGTCAGGGCGCTAGGGCGGGCGGCCGTCAGGGCGCTAGGGCGGGCGGCGTTCGGGCACTAGGGCGGGCGGCCGTCAGAGCACTAGGGCAGATCGAAAAAAAAAAGGAAGTACGAGGGCCCGGAGCGCGCTCCGGGCAGAAAAAAGTTAAGCGGTAGCGGTGGTGGGCCCTACGAACAGTTCCCACAGGGGAACCTGCTCGATACCATGAGAAGAAGTGAACGAGAATGAAATGACTATGAACGAAGTGAGTACAAATAGGAAACCCTGATTGGGTTGTACCCCTTATGGGATACCCCACTATAGCCTACAGAAATAAGTAAGCTATATGTTCTGACAGAAAGAAGTAACGAAACCCTACGGAGCAAAAGTCACCCACGCCTCAACTAGGCTAATCTTAAGTTCGAATGCATTCTGACTTCATGTATTCACTACATGTTTTTTTCCATTGTCTCGTGTGCAATCTTACTGCCATAGAATCCACTATCTCTTCTGATTTAACCGTCAGAATATCGTTGAGTCAACGGGTCGAAATGGCCAGCGGCTCTAACAAAAAAACAGAGAGTTCGTCTTCGTTCTCTCACACGCTCTCTTTCGTCTAAGCTTCTGCACTCTTCTGCTCTCCCCCTCTTTCTTTCCCAATATGTAGTTCAAACACTAACTCACCGTTAATAAGACGAGGGAGTGAGACAACGATGAGGTCGACCGTTTCCTGCAAGCAAATCGTGGGAGACAGAAGCAAATAAAAGAGCTACAATATATTAGATCAAATTTGATCAACAACAGCTTAAAACGAACCTAGCTAGTAGATCAAAGGATCGTAGCATTACTAGCATTTCAATCGAATTAGCTGCAACCATTCAAAAAAGCGTAGCAGAATGGGTTGCAGCTCTTGAAAGCGATATAAACAAATGAAAGTAAAACTACATACTGCTATGTGGGAACAGGCTTGAAAACTGAATAAATGAATAGAGGGATGCACGCTTATCAACGACCTGAATGCTACCACGAGATGTGCTGAAGTAGGTAAATGACTACGGTATAATACGAGCTTAGATGTTAACATCAGCTAATTAAGTTCTAGGTGGCATCTTAGTTTCCTGACCTGAGTAGCGGGAGGCAAGGCTCCAGTCGCGAGAGGAAGGGAGGAAGAGGAAAATGAAAACGAAACCCTAGATCAGTTCACGCGCAATTTAAAATAAATTTAAATTTTTAGCAAATTTGTAGCTCACCTTGTGTAGCGCAGTCGATCGAAGCGCATCTTAAAGCCCGAGTACAGCATGGTATTTTTCAAGTTCAAGATTCTTGAACTTGAAGTCGTAAAAAACAGGGTTACCCTCTTTTGTTTGAAAGAACTCTCGCGACCCAGGGAAAACTTAGTGCGACTGTCACTTCTGATTGGTTTCTGTGCCCAGTCGCACAACACATCCGAACATCGCCTACCATGTTGCCGTGGTCACCTCTCACATAACTTGACGACCAAGTGGTACTCCTAATCCACTAGAGTAGGCACGTAACTAAGAAACGCGCGGCAGGGCGATAAAAGCTAGTTTAGGTAGAAGCGTTTTTTTCCTTCCAGCTCTCGTCACTCCCGCTGTCTTGCCAATAGCTGAGGAGCACCCGCTTCTTGCCAAACACGCTATTACCGTACCATTTTTGCATGCCAGCGACGGGACACCCGTTCTAGTGCACCACAGTCATGGGTCGGCTAAGGCTGCTGGTTACCTCCAATACAACGCCCGTAACGCATTGGCCAGCATAGCATGGCCCGCCCAACAAAAACTTGGCTTCAGTCCGCCTTCAGGCGTCATCCTCGCCTCGTCCAGACTCCCACACTTAGTATGTGGCGAGTGCATCACCTCATCGCCCGTGCTTCCCTAGCGATTCCCTCAACCCCACGTTACGAGAGCTTCTGCACTCGCGCATGCCCTCGTCGCCCGCGCGTCCCTCGTCGCGCAATGTTTCCCTCGTCGCAAGCGTTTCCCTCGTCACGCCAGCTTGTCCTTGTCTCCCACGCTCACCCGCGCTTCCCACGCTTACCCACGTTTCCCGCGCTCTCCAGCGACACCCGCGCTTACCCTCGTCACCCGCGCTTACCCGTGTCATCCCCACTTACCCGCGCTTATCCGCGTTTCCCGCGCTTACCCGAGGTCACCCGCGCTTACCCGCATCATCACTGCCCGCGTCTCGCACTCTTTCCCGCGTGTGAAACGCTTACTCGAGTCTCCCGCACTTACCCTCGTCTCTTGCGTTGCTCCTCAACGCCCTCGCCTCCCGTTGTCGCCTCAGTTTCCCCCATCCACACGCATCTCCCCTTATCGCCCATGTCTACCCAAGTCGCCACTCCCCGTCGTTAGCGAAGGCCCCCACACACCACGCGCATTCTCCCCACTTGTCCGCCTCCTTTCCCCCCCACACACTACGCGCATTTTCCCCCACTTGTCCGCCTCCTTTCCCCCCCTCACACCACGCGCATTCCCCCCACTTGTCCGCCTCCTTTTCCCCCCCTCACACCACGCGCATTCCCCCCACTTGTCCGCCTCCTTTCCCCCCCGCACACCACCAGCATCCCCCCCACTTGTCAGAGGGCGAGAGACAAAGTGGGAGGGACAGAGGGGAAGGGAAAGAGGGGGAGTGAAGGAGGGGTAGGGACGAAAGTGCAGGGACGAGAGGGGAGGGATAGTGGGGGGGGGACAGAGGGGCAGGGACAGAGGGGGAGGGACAGAGGGGAAGGAACGAGGGGGAGGGACAGAGGGGGAGGGACAGAGGGGAGGAAAGAAGGGGAAGGACAGAAGGGGAAGTACAAGGGGGAGAGGGGGGAGGACAGATGGGGAGAGACAGAGGGGGGAGGTACAGGGGGGGGGACAGGGGGGGAGAGACAGAGGGGGAAGGGCAAAGGGGGAGAGACAGAGGGGGAAGGACACAGGTGGAGTGACAGATGGTGAAGGGCAGAGGGGGGGAGACAGAAGGGGAAGGACGGAGGGGGAGGATAAGAGGGGGAGGGGCACAGAGGGGGAAGGACAGAGGGTGAGAGCGGGTACTTCCCCCACTCCCTCTCCTCGTCGACCTCACTTCCCCAGGCTTGTTTACACCCCTCTTTATTTTGACCAACCTCCCTTTCTCCCAACAGCTCTGTTTACCCCACAGTCTATTCTCCTTTGCCTCACCTGCCACTCCCCCCTTCCTCCTCCCTGCTTCCCCCCTCCCTCCTTCCTGCTTCCCCCCTCCCTCCTTCCTGCTTCCCCTCGTCCCCTCCCCTTCTTTCCCCCATCCCCTTCCCTGCTTCCCTCCATCCCCTTCCCTGCTTTCCCCCATCCCCTACCCTGCTTCCCCCCATCCCCCTCCCTGCTTCCCCCCATCCCCTTCCCTGCTTCCCCCCATCCCCTGCCCTGCTTCCCCCCATCCCCTTCCCTACTTTCCCCCCATCCCCTTCCCTGTTTCCCCCAATCCCCTTCCCTGTTTCCCCCCATCACCTTCCCTGCTTCCCCCCATCCCCTTCCCTGCTTCCCCCCATCCCCTTCCCCGCTTCCCCCCATCCCCTTCCCTGCTTCCCCCCATCCCCTTCCCTGCTTCCCCCCCCATCCTCTCCCTCCCCATGTACAATCGCAAAGAAAAGGGGGGACGCACGCGCAACAGGGGGGCAGCGCAGCAGACTTGTGTGCAATCTCAGTGACTTGTGTGCAATCTCACTGACTTGTGTGCAATCTCACTGACTTGTGTGCAATCTCAGTGACCAGCGGCATGCTGCAACATACCCCCCACTCCTTTCATACTCCCCACTCCTCTCATACCCCCCACTCCTTTCATACTCCCCACTCCTCTCATACCCCCCACTCCTTTCATACTCCCCACTCCTCTCATACCCCCCATTCCTTTCATACTCCCCACTCCTCTCATACCCCCCACTCCTTTCATACTCCCCACTCCTCTCATACCCCCCACTCATTCCATACAGTGGACTCCCCCCACTCCTCTCATACTCCCCATTCCTCTCATACCCCGCACTCCCCTCGTACGCCCAACTCCTCTCATACCCCACAGTCCCCTCATACCCCCTGCTCCTCTCATATCCCTACACCCTCGTTCCAAACTTCCCACTCCCTTCATATCACCCACTCCTGAAATACCCACCGCTAATGTGAATTCAAATTGTCACTGTTTCGTCTGGTCCCGCTTTCCACCTATGCACTGCTTCCCATGCTTGCACCCCTGCTTTCCGCCCTTGCACCCCTGCTTCCCACCCTTGCACCCCAGCTTCCCACCCTTGCACCCCTGCTTCTCCCCCTTGCACCCCTGCTTTCCACCCTTGCACCCCTGCTTTCCACCCTTGCACCCCTGCTGTCAGCCCTTGCACCCCTGCTGTCAGCCCTTGCACCGCTGCTGTCAGCCCTTGCACTCCTGCTTTTCTGCTTCAAGAGCAGCAGCAAGTCCCTCCAGAGATCCTATAGCTGCCACTGGTTCGTCTGCTCCTACTCTGAGCTACTACCGGTAAAATTTTGAGCCCTCAAGTCGTGCGCCTTCTATCCCACCCATGCATCTGCCATGTGTTGGCAGGCTAACTGGTGTGTCGATTCCAGTACTGTGGCTCACTTCACTGCGCATTGTGAACGAGGTCCTTGTGAAATGCAAGTATAAGCCATCCTGAAGTAGTGTACATTGGATGCCAAGTGGTTACCTTGGCAATAATTTGCAATAAAGTGCCAACAGAGCTGGGCACTGACACCTTTGGAGTAAGATAACTGTTACACATCATCATGGATGTATCCTTTTTGGGATACCAAACAAGCTAGTGCCCTAGGAAGAATGGAACATGAGCTGGATTAGGGTCTCAAGAATCGAAGCAATGGAGTAGTTTCACCGGGCTAACTTCATCCGCACGTGTAACGTATATTGCAACTATAATATGTGCAAGTTTATTTCGCAAAGAAGCATGATTAGGTTTAGGACAGAACGGCATAGTCCTCCACACACATTCAAGCATGACATGTTCAAGACCAAATTAGCACAGTGGGGATGGAAACACAACCCCATTTATTCATCCTGACCTGCCACCCACACCTCCACTTCCTCCCCGTCATAGTGGCCTGCTAGCCACCACTCATCACTATCGTCGCTCCACTCCTCCGCATCTTTTATCACTGCGTCTGCCACATCATCCACTTGATCCGATGGCAATTCCGCCTTATCCCTCTCACAATGGTAACCTGCGGCTATAGCCAATGAGAAGGAGGATAAGCCAGAATTTAGAGTGGTGTCCCTGTAGCTATGAATAATCTCAACCGCAGAGCATGGCAGGGCATGCCTGGAGGGGGGGAGGGAGAAGGGCGGAGCGGAGCATGACAGGGGAGGGCAGGGCAGGGCATGGCATGGCATGGGAGAGGCATGGCATGACGCAGATGGTGCAGACAAGGGCAGGGCGGGCCATGAGAAAGCAGGGCAGGCATGGCCCCTCTAGTCATGGCATCGCAGAAAAATGAGGGTGCTGACAAGGGCGGGGCGGGGCGGGACAGGGCATTGCAGGGCAGGACATGGCAGGGCAGGGCAGGGCAGGTCAGGGCATGACAGGGCAGGGCAGGGCAGGGCAGGGGAGGGCAGGGCAGGGTAGGGCATGACAGGGCATGGCAGGGCAGGGCATCTCCTGGAATAGCATGGCATGTTTAGTTGGAGCAGGGAAAGGAGGTGCGGGGCAGGACAGGGAAGATGGGGAGTGGCATGCCAAGGTGGAGTAGACAAGATCGAGGCGAGACCAAACAGGGCATGGTAGGGAATGGGAGATCTGAGCAGGCCAAGTTATAGCATGGTGGGCGATGGGTGTTTGTCAAATACCTTTGGGGGGGTCGATTGTCGTGGTGGGCGTCGTGGTGGTTCTGCGTGATGCCGAGCAAGCCTCGCGCGGGTTTGAAAGCTCGCCTGATATTCGCCTTGGGCACTTAGCGTGGGAGGTTCGACACATCACCTATAAGCAACATACAGATGGGTTGGAAGACGCGAATGGTGAACACATTACGCTGGCTAGAATGTTTACGTCGAGTATGAGCCATACTGAGCAATAACAACTCACGTTGCGCTGCCGTTGCTTACCCAAACGACGGCGAGCAGATCCACGAGACGTGCCGCACACCGGACCGAACCCGCCTTGGCGCACTGGTGTCACTGGCTCAAGAACAGATGCTATGGGCTGTGCGATCGATGCATCGACCAGCTGCGCAGTCGTTGCTATTGATTCAGGCATCTCGTCAACATCCACAGTATCTCCATGCCGCAGTGTTCGTTGCCATTCCTCCATGATGCGATCAACCCAAGCCCAATCCATTTTAGTCAAGATGCGCTCCTTGGATCCGCGCCTGATCCTCGTCACCTGTCGGACTCTAGTGCGATAGGCGGTCACCAGGCGATCCATGCCGTGATTCCAATGAAGAACCGCGAGACCGACTCGTGCCGGGAAGCTGCCCTGAAACCGTATCCGCTTAGGTGCGTATTTGATGATCAAAGAATGGAAAGACTCGTTCAGAGAACTCGACGTGCCATGCACAAAGGACTTAACCTTCTCAGAGCTTAAGTGCTTGGAGAACCATGCACAAACCGCCTTGTGTGTCGACGACCCAAACTCATATATGGCATGGTCCTTGCCCCACCCCTCTCTGACGCAGCGAGGTGGGGTCTCTCCTACCCCAGTGCAGCCGGAGTGGTCACCGGCCCAGTGGTTGGGTGGGCTCCCAAGCTCCCTCGCCACGTCGGCCAGGGTCATAGGATGCCCCTCTTTCTTCTTCGCACCACATCGCACCATCACGTGATAGAAATGAGAGGATAAGCGTTGTGCCACAGTTTGTTCCTCCTTGCCAGAATCGATATGATCTTCACCTCGTTTCCGCTTTCGGCGACCAGTCCACCGAGGTAGTGTCTCGGGCTCGCTGAACGCATTAGGGTTCTGCACTTCGGTATCAGCCCCGACTCCATCTAGCGCATCTGTGAATGTTAGAAAATGAAATACGAAAACTGAGTATAGAGTAGCACTTGGATCAAGCATGCCCAAAACTTGGTAAGGGGTGTATGCATACCAGTCTCCGTGTCGGTGTTGGCCCAAGAAGTGGATCCACCGATGAAATGGGAGTTTCCGTTTGCGCCAGCGTGCACAAGCATGATGAGGGTGCTCGCCAAAGATGTCGGTCGCGCACCCTGCGTCGGGTGCACATCATAACTCCATAGCTCTTCCACGTCTTCCCATTGAACGTCAACGTTCCACTCCTCCGGTGTCGGCCTATCCACGGTAGCCCGCTCAGCTCCCTCATCCCGCTCCCGCACATCGGCATCAGAAGCACCAGGCACCTCGCCGTAGGTCACAGGCACCTCCACCGGGCTACACTCCCCCCCCATCCGCACCACCTTTCTTAGCTCGGGAAACTTCCATTTCGCCTCTTCCAGGGTCATTTTCCGGTAAACAATCGTGCCCATGGCTTTACAAACGGCTTCCACCAAGTCCCCTTTCAGTGAAGCTTTCGGCTCTTTCTCCAACCCCCGTGCTGTCAGCCATTACCGTAGCCCATCGATAGTCGCAAGCCATAGATCCTCAATACAGGTCGCCTTGTCCACAGCCACTGGTGCACGGACCGCATCCTGAAGTTCTTTCAGAAATAACTTGTAAAGCGTCCGCTTTACATGCCACCAGTCCACCTGGTGGTTCAACCCCCTTTCGGACGCTGCCCCACGAAAAGTAGTCCCTTGGTCGGAGATGATCCCTTCTACCGTAAACCCTTTCTGCGCCAGTTCATCTAACCCTTTATCGAAAGCCACCCTTTCCAGTCGCACCGAAGAAGTGTCGTCCACCCCTTTTCGTGTCGTCGCACAGTACACTATCTTTCTGGACGGCAAATCTAAAAACGATACTGTACACCACTCTCCCTCACGGACATGTGACCATCGACCATCGACCACTACATATTCTGTAGGGATTTCTCGCTTCATCATCTCTTCTCGTACCGCAGCCATAGACTTATCAGCCTCTCTCAATATAGCATTCCATAACCCATTATCATCACCAAGGTACTTGTAAAATGTGCCCTTCCCTGGTGCTGGCAAGCCGACGTTGCGACAAAACTCCCACATTTGCTGATACCCCATTCCGGCTAAAGCAAATGCCCCGACAAATTTCGACTGTAGAATCGAAGAATGCGCGCCTACACCGGTTCGTGCTCTCTCGATACGCCGGCTCGGACATGACCAAAACTCTACACCATGCGAACACGCGTCGCATCTCCAAAACATGCCGACCGATGCCCATGAGAACTTCCATGACCTCAATGTCATCCCCTCACTACACGCTTGCTCATGTGAACACACCAATCGACACCCTTGGAAGAACCCAACCAACTGTCGAGGCTCGACAAGACATACCCGTTGTCCGTCGATGTCATCCACGCTCGGAGCAGAAGGCCAGTGCCTAGGGACACTCCCACGCGCAACTGCTCGTCGGTGGCTGTTGGCAGGCCTAGTGGACATAAAGAGGAGGGGAGTTTGGACATGGATACAACGACGTGTTTGATAGTGCACAATGACATTTTGCCATATGTAGCCACCGCACCCACTACTCTCACCCTTGCACTGGCCGTTCTGGAGTCGTCGTCACACTTCGTGCAGGCGCGGCCACCGCAGTATCTCTGGGCACTCCGGAAACGCCCTCATCAGCATCCATGCCCACAGTGCCTACGGCTGGCGCATCTGGCAGTTCGGTCCCCATGACGTTGCCACTCCCTCCATGGTTGGCCCCTGAAACGTATTGGGAGTGTGGACGGGACGTCGTTTATTACTCACGTCCAAAACAAGCCAACTTCAGATGCATCTTCCAAATCTTACCTGAATTACACGTCGCTGCAAATGCCGCGCCACGCCTGGCGCCTCCCCATGATCGACCGGAAACCTGTCGCAGTCTTCCGCGCGCATCATACTGCACCAGTGGGAAGGAGTATCTAAGCCCGGCCAGCACTCGATTGGGCCGTTGATGCAGGGCTACTACATCGTCCATAGTTCCTTTCGCGCGTTCTTTGAAGATGCGGCCGTACTCTTTTCGATGTCTTTCCACAATTACGCCGGTATGAGTGTCGTTTGAAGCAGGATCTGTTAGGCAGAGAATGTGCAGGCAGAGAATGTTCAGGCATGTGATACATTTCACAGGTGTAGGACATTCGATAGAAAGACAACCAGCACTTCAGATCATGCACACATCACATGCTCGCCCAAACCTTGTGTCATACCTGCTGCTAGGCCCGCCTCAATAAGTCGGTTGGTCGCTTGGGGTGCTGACTCAACCAAAAAGTGAATCACATCATCTGTCGTCGCCATCGTGTCCCCAAGGTACAATGCCGAGAGCCCGACGCGGAGAACACACAAAAGTGGCCGCATGTGGACCGAAATATTGACCGTTCCTCTCTGGGCATCCTTACATGCTTGTATTGCAGGATGCCCTCCCGCACCTACACCAACCCCTGCCATCTGAAACCATGTCAGCGCATACCCCGAGGAGAGGAAGGAAATGGGTGGTTAGGGCGTTGGCACAGCAGGGACAAGGATTAGGGCATCTATAGATGTCTGCAGAAATGTGCAAATGCACGTCATGCAGCACCGAGCGGTGAGTGCACGCAATAGAGAAAGGGCCCAAAGCACCAGCAACTCTGGTTGCTGCTGCCTGGGGACTGAACGGGTGGGTGCATGGTGCTGAAACCAGGCCCAAGGCAGCTGCATCCAGAGATGCTGCTGCCTTGGGACAGAACAGGTGGGTTTACAGTGGTGAAAGCAAGCCCAAGGCAGCAGCATCCAAAGTTGCTGCTGCCTTGGGACTGAACAGGTGGGTTTACAGTGGTGAAAGCAAGCCCAAGGCAGCAGCAACTCTGGTTGTTGCTGCCTGGGGACTGAACAGGTGGAGGCATGGTGCTGAAACCAGGCCCAAGGCAGCAGCATCCAGAGATGCTGCTGCCTTGGGACTGAACAGGTGGGTTTACAATGGTGAAAGCAAGCCCAAGGCAGCAGCATCCAAAGCTGCTGCTGCCTTGGGACAGAACAGGTGGGTTTACAGTGGTGAAAGCAAGCCCAAGGCAGCAGCAACTCTGGTTGTTGCTGCCTGGGGACTGAACAGGTGGAGGCATGGTGCTGAAACCAGGCCCAAGGCAGCAGCATCCACGGTTGCTGCTGCCTTGGGACAGAACAGGTGGGTTTACATTGGTGAAAGCAAGCCCAAGGCAGTAGCAACTCTCGTTGTTGCTGCCTGGGGACTGAACAGGTGGAGGCATGGTGCTGAAACCAGGCCCAAGGCAGCAGCATCCAAAGTTGCTGCTGCCTTGGGACTGAACAGGTGGGTTTAAAAAGGTGAAAGCAAGCCCAAGGCAGCAGCATCCAAAGTTGCTACTGCCTTGGGACTGAACAGGTGGGTTTACAGAGGTGAAAGCAAGCCCAAGGCAGCAGCAACTCTGGTTGTTGCTGCCTGGGGACTGAACAGGTGGAGGCATGGTGCTGAAACCAGGCCCAAGGCAGCAGCATCCAAAGTTGCTGCTGCCTTGGGACTGAACAGGTGGGTTTACAATGGTGAAAGCAAGCCCAAGGCAGCAGCATCCAAAGTTGCTGCTGCCTTGGGACTGAACAGGTGGGTTTACAGTGGTTCCGCGCAAGCCCAAGGCAGTAGCAACTCTGGTTGTTGCTGGCTGGGGACTGAACAGGTGGAGGCATGGTGCTGAAACCAGGCCCAAGGCAGCAGCATTCACGGTTTCTGCTGCCTTGGGACTGAACAGGTGGGTTTAAAATGGTGAAAGCAAGCCCAAGGCTGTAGCAACTCTGGTTGTTGCTGCCTGGGGACTGAACAGGTGGAGGCATGGTGCTGAAACCAGGCCCAAGGCAGCAGCATCCAGAGGTGCTGCTGCCTTGGGACAGAACAGGTGGGTTTACAGTGGTGAAAGCAAGCCCAAGGCAGTAGCAACTCTGGTTGTTGCTGCCTGGGGACTGAACAGGTGGAGGCATGGTGCTGAAACCAGGCCCAAGGCAGCAGCATCCACGGTTGCTGCTGCCTTGGGACAGAACAGGTGGGTTTACAATGCTGAAACCAGGCCCAAGGCAACAGCATCCAGAGATGCTGCTGCCTTGGGACAGAACAGGTGGGTTTACAGTGGTGAAAGCAAGCCCAAGGCAGCAGCAACTCTGGTTGCAGCTGTGTGCCTTTGCCTCGTGACACGTGAGCGCGATAGGACCCTCAAGGCAGCAGCGACCATTGTCGCTGTACTATAGTAGCAGTAGCAGAGAAATGGGCACTCACCTGGGCTATCCTCTGTAGCGATCCGCAGGGGCGTGTGCTGCACCTTGCTCCCCGTCACTCCGCAGTATCCGCTTTAGTTGTGCGCGCGGTGGTTGTAGCCAGGTCACCTGGAGGGCGCGCTTCTCGTCGCCGGGAACGCGGGCTCCGCGTCGTCTGGAACGCGGGCTCCGCGTCGACTGGAGGGCGGGATCAGATCCGCCTGAAATGCGAGATCCGCGTCGCGAGGAATGCGGGCTCCGCGTCGCACAGAACGCGAGCAGCTAAATGTGGCGAGCGAGTGCTGCTCGGCGCTTGGTGCGCGAGCCGAATCTAATCCGCTTTCTTCCCCCTGGCTAGTCACAACGACTCCAATACACTCGTCGTTTCTTGTTGTGCCTAGCTACTCGTAGTCTCCAGTCTGTCATCACGACCTTCTTCCCGTTAGTGCAATCGCGCTTGCACGTTCCTACACTTTGCTGTTGCCAGCTCCTGCGATGGTCGTTACCCAAGTAATCTGGGGTAAGGATCGTCTCGAACACGTTTCTGTTGTGGCGTTGAGTAGGTGGCGTTGATAACCTGCACGTGCTTTGCTTGCTCAGTTTTTCTATTTCCCGTTAGCATCGAGCTGATTCAGTGGTGAGGTGACTTCGGGTGAGCAACACTTTCCATGCTCGATGCAAGAGAGGATGTGTGAGAGAGGATGTGTGCGACACATTTGTCGCTTTGGGTTGGTGGGATTCGCAGGATTGGTGAGTGCGAAATGTTCACTTGTTTGCGGCGGAAAATTGTTCTCGCCAAGGGCAGCCAACTAGGCTTCGCAGATCTCGCATACAGCCTATTTCAAATACACATAACTTGATAATTTACCATGCTGACCCCGGGCTTTAATAGCGGAAGTTCGAAGGTTCGATCCTTTGAGCGGCCGTACTTGGAACTTTTACTTAAAAGGCCTTAAGAAGTTTTAGCATTTCATATAAGATGAAACCAAACCAATTACTAATATTTTGCAAAACAGCTTCGCAACCCTAAGACGATTTCGTCGCCTCTTGTTTTGTTTTGTATTTTCAGACGGGCCTAAATCCTAGGAAGAGCCCTGATCTGAATATAATTTCCAAATGAGAATTTTGATAACCTTTGAAGAAACAGTGTACCTGGCAACAAATGCGTTGCTTGCACTTGAATACCAGAATGTGCACGGCACTTCCTACCTCTTCACGCAGAGCGTCCACATGCATCTAAACGAAACAATGGAGGCTCCAGCTACCGATAAGTGGTTTTCATGGTTCTGATATTACACCCAATTCACAAAATATCCAAAGCTTGCCGCCTCACTTGCGGCCGGCAGGAGGCCCTGGGCGGCGGCCCCTGTCGTCCTCATCATCAGAGTCCACGTCACCGTACTGCCAGATGTGCAGTCGTGATTGGCGGGCCATCTCCTGCCTCTCCTTCAGCCCCTCCAACACTGCTGCCAGAGCCGGGTTCCTCACGCCCCCCCTGCGCTTCTCAAGCCGCGCCAGTCCAGCCTGCGAGATGAGGAAATGGGCAACAAAAAGCGAGAAGCGTTGTAAATGAATTAACGAGAAAAATCGGGGACGACAGTAGGATGAGGGAGGTGTGGAATGGATGGGATGACAGGGTGGACAGACAATGGAGCAGAAAATGGTCTCACCTGCAGGAGAGACGCATTCACGCTCGTTGAAGTTTCGCTATCCACCAGCGTGACCACCCAGCACACACCGCTGCCCTGCCCCTTCACCTTGGTCCCCGCACTCGCATCCCGCTCCTCCACCCGTGCCAGCAGTGTCTTGCCCCCCGTGAGCCCCTGCACCTCCTCCGCTGCCTCCTGCCCAAAATCCTCCTCCAACCCCGGCACCTTCACGTGGGCCAGGCGGCACAGTTGGGCCAGACCCAGCCCCTCGGATTTCCCGCGGGGGAAGGAGGAGGGGGAGACGGTGGGGTTGTCGAGCGGGCGCAGGCGGGCGAAGGGGAGCGTCTCCTGGTTGCCGTAGTCGATATAAAACACTGTGTACTCGGACGTGCGCGCTGGGGTGGGGTCTGCAGGGGCGGTTACCACCTGGTTTGGAGAGGAGTGTATGGGAGGAGGGAGAGCGGAAGGGTTAAGGGGCAGAGCGGGGGGTTTTGTAAACCGCACAAACACTAACACACCCTTCTCCTTCTCGTTTCCTCAGTACACATTCATCATCCCTTCCCAACCGTTCCCAACTGTTCTCAATCGTTCCCAACCATTCCCAACCCTTCACAACCATTCCCACCCATTCCCAACCGTTCCCAACCGTTCCCAACCCATCCCAACCATTTCCATCCTTCCCCAACCCATCCCAACCCTCTCCCACCGACTCACCATGGCACGCGCCCAGCTGTCGTCCGCACTGAATTGCGCAAACACAAAATCGCCCTTCTTGGGCACAAACGTGCCGGGAGCCGGGGTCTTTGCGTCACTCAGCTGGAGCTCTTCAATCGCCCCCTCCAGGCGCGGCAGCAGCCCCGAACCGCTCTCCACCGCATAGAAGAGCCCTCCGCCCAGCACCTCTGTGACATGCACGTGCACCAGCTCCTGCTTGCCTCCCGCCTGCAGCAGCGAGGCTTCCGAGGCTGCGGCGCTTGCCGCGTCCTGTCCCTCCACGTACCCCTCCCACACCTGGTGGCGAGCGGGGGGGGGAGGGGCAGGGAGCGGCAGCAGGCGGAGAGGCAGCAGAGGGAGGGAGGGAGGGAGGGAGGGAGGGAGGGAGGGAGGGAGGGAGGGAGGGAGGGAGGGAGGGAGGGAGGGAGGGAGGGAGGGAGGAGAGGTAGCAAGGGAGTGGGGGAGATGAGGCAGCAAGAGGAGTGAAGAGTGGATGACAAAGGAGGGAGTGAAGGGAGAGAAAAATGGGGCGATCTGGTGAGTGCCATGTGTGGCAAAGAGAATGACGTCTGGCCCCGATAAACCACCCAAGGTACCTTGAGGCGCGCGTTCTTGGCCTGGGTCTCGGCGGAGATGAGCAGGTGCCCCTCGGCCGTGCGGTCAGGAGTGAAGGACGGGTGCAGCTTTGCCAGCCCTGCCTGCAGCAGCAGCGCACCGGCGTTCGTGCGCTCGGCCCAGAGAGACCCGATGAAGGTCCCGGTCTTGTCAACTGTCTCAACCTCAATCTGGGAAAGGGGCAGGTGGAGAAGGGACCAGAAGGATGGGGGGAGGAGGTTGGGAACAGCATAAGCCTAAGCATACCTGACCAATGGTCATGCTGGATGATTTGCTGCCTAATGAACGCAACTCCATGCTCCAAAAACGGTCCTCTCACATCCCAATCCAGTTACCCATTACAAACCCCACCACTCCTCACCTCCACTTCGTGCTGCATGATGCGTCGGCGCATGAAGGCAATGGCATGCTCGGAGAAGTTCTCGCCCTTGCCGGGGCAGCGCACGCCCGAGAGCGCAAAGGCGATGGCGCAGCTCTCGCGGGGAATGATGAGCTTGAAGCGGTGGCCCGACAGCACATAGTCCACCACCGCCGCCATGCGCTTGCCGCGCTGCAGGAACGGCAGGAAGCCACGCGCCTTGTTCGCCATGCCCTGGGGTTCAAATGAGAGGGGATGGAGGATGAAAGTTGCAAGGAGATGAGGAGGGAAAGGCCATTTGAGAGGGAGGGAAAGAGGAGTGCAATGAGTCAGTCAATCAGCCTGTGCTTGAATGGCCACTCCTGTGCTGACACAGAGTGAGACTCACATGCTCCAGACACTCTACCCACTCGCACTAGCACTTATGCATCCAAACAAATGACTTACATGCAAGGAGAGGTCGTTGATGTGGGTGGCAGGAGCATCCTTGTTGGAATGGATGTTCTTCTTCCCCTTGATCGCCTTGGCCTCGGCAGCCAGCAGAGCGTCATACTGAGACGACCGCTCCTCAAAGTCACGGTGGCGCACCACTGTCGCCAGGCCCCTCGTTACAAGCATCTCCGCCACATTCACACCGCCAGGGGGGACGGCAGGGGCGGCATCTCCAGAGGCGGTGGTGGCAGGGGCGGCAGGCGCAGCAGCAGCATCGGTCTTGCCTGGAGGGGAAGGGGAAGGGAAGGAAGGGCAGGGAATTAGACCTCTCGTTACAAGCAACTCTACTAGAGTCAATCTGGCAGCAAGCACAGCACGAGCAGTGCCTCTAGATGATGTGGTGGCAGGAGCAGCAGGAGCAGGTGTGCCTACCTGGGCTAAGCCTGCAGCAGGCGAGCCTACCTGTGAGCAGGAAGGCAGATCCAAACTCCATGTTGCGCCCCTCAGGGCCTCCAGCCTCCATGGGCGGCATCTTGCGCGTGTACTCCATCTGCACCGCCACCTGCAAAGGGAGAGAGGAGATGGGAGAGAGGGAATGAGGAGAGACGAGAAAGGGAGGAACGAGGAATGAGAAGCACACTTTGAGCCTCCAGCCTGCTTCCATGGGCGGCATCTAGCAGGAGTACTCCATTTGGACCGCCATCTGCAAGGAGTCGACTCAAAAGCAGACTCCATTTGGACCGCCATCTGCAAGGGAGAGCGGAGAGGGGGATGATGAAAGAGGGGAACGGAGAATGCAGGTCATAAGGAGGGAGGGAGGAAGGAGGTGCTCTGAGACTAAACCTCCAGATTCCATGAGCAGCATCTTGTGCATGTGCTGTGCTCCATATGTGCTGCCAGCAAATCGGGCATGCTGCAGTGCCAGCAAAGCAGGCGTGTTTCAGAATTCCTCTTGCACATGTGTTTCCTTCATTCACCCTCCAGCGCGAGGGCTAGGCTAAGAACTCCCTTGCCTCTTGTGTGTACCGCTCGGGCTTCTCGTCCCGGCGCGGGTTGCCCATCTTCCTGGCGCGGGTGCTCGAGAGGTTGACCCGCCTCTCTGCCTGCGGCTTGTTGTGTACCTCTATAACAGCTCGCACACAACACAACACACAATTATGCTGCATACCGGCTGGCCAATGAGGCGGGAGCGCAAGAACTCCTTGGCCTCTCGCGCGTACGGCTCGGGCTTCTCGTCCCGGCGCGGGTTGCCCATCTTCTTGGCGCGGATGCTGGAGAGGTTCACCCGCCTCTCTGCCTGCGGGGTGCCCTCCACTGCTGCATCATCCGCCACCACGATGCAGTCGCCACTCACCACCTCCACCACCTGAAGGGGGTACAGGGGGGGTGCGGGGGTGGGGGTGGGGATAGGGGTGGGGGTAGGGGTGGGGATGAGGTGACTGTGGAGCTGCCTCAAAGCCACCACGATGCAATCGCCACTCACCATCTCTACCACCTGCGGGCGTTGCGTGGGGTAGGTGTTGGGGTTGGGGTTTGGGGAGGGGATGGGGATCAGGGATGGAGGTCGGAATGGAAAAGGGGATGGGGATCACGTGGTATAAAGGCTCAAGTTCAACGCTCTCTCACCTTTTCAGTGAAGCCAGTAAGGCTCCCACAGTCTCACCTTGCCAGTGAAGTTGTCTCGGAAGGCAATGGAGTTGGACTGGGGGGGCACGAAGTTGGTCCACATGCGCACGCGCTGCTTCTTCGCCTCCAGCTCTGCGGATTTCAGCGCTGCCTTGGCGCTCGCCTCGAGCATGTTGGCGCTCCACTCCACCACCTTGGCGAGACCCTGGAGAGATTGGAGCAGAGGCAAAAGCGAGTTTGAAAGGAGCAGAGAGGAAAGCATAGGGAAGGAGCTACCGGGCCAGAATTTCAGTACTGCCTTAGCGCTCGCCTCGAGCATGCTGGCACTCCACTCAACCACCTTGGCCAGGCCCTGTGAGAGACGAGGGCCAGCAGACATAAGACCAAAGGGAAGGAGCAAAAAGGGCGAGCACGTGCAGCATTAAGCTCCCACTGCTTCTTGGCCGCCAGCCAGACAGTTTGAGAAACGTATTTTCGAAGGTTGAATGAACAGCAAGGCGAAAGCGCGACAACTCACTCATGTTACAGATGAGCTCGAGGTGAAATTTGAGTTGACTGAAGAAGCAGCACAAGCAGCTTACAACCCCAAATCTGGCCAAAAGGCCGAATGAAGAGCAGGTGAGAGAACAACGACTCGACTCACGTTCTGGACGAGCTCAAGGGAGAGGTTGACGACAGAGTCGCCTGAGGGGTCATTTCAAGTCAAGTCAACTCCAGAACTTCCAAACAGCACTGCTTCTTGGCCTGCAAGTTCGTGCTCCTTACTTGCATACTGGACTTATTCTGACAACTCACGTTCTGGACGAGCTCAAGGGAGAGGTTGACGACGGAGTCGCCTGAGGGGTAGTGCAGCGTGCCCACGAGGTTGCTGAACTTGCCATCCACGCCCTCCAGCACTACACGGACCTGGAAAGGGAAATACACAAGTGGTACACACACATACACACAAAAGGATAACGAGTGACTCAATAAAGGAGTTTACAGCAGAGTCCCCTGAGGGGTAGTGCAGTGTGCCCACGAGGTTGCTGAACTTACCAACCACACCCTCCAGCACCACACGCACCTGGCATGGAGGAAACAATGGAGCACACACAAACACAACAATGCCGCGTGACTCAATAACGAGTTCACGAGGTTCCTGAACTTGCCGTCCATCCCCTCCAGTCCCGCGTGCACCTGTGGTCAAGAGCACAATTGGGCAAATAACTAGTGACCCCATACACAGTTGGTTCATTGGGTTACTGAACTTACCATCCACTCCCCCCAGCACTACACAGGCATGTGATAAACCTCAGAGCATGGAGTTAACATGGCGGAGTTACCAAAGGGCTTGCAGAAGTTGTTTCTTTCCTGTTGTTTATTTTTTTTTCATGATTTCCAAGTCATTTGTCTCTCTGTTTGTCTACAGAAGAAGCAGTCTAACCTCGCGGTTCAGACAGCGGACTTCAGTGAAGTGCTTAGCTTCAAGCGCAAACGGCTCAGCGCCGCTATCCTTCTGCTCCGCCGCTGCAGCCGAGGCCGCCAGGCGCTGGGCGGCACTAGGAGCACCCCCAGCAGCTGCTGCTGCTTCATCGGTGCTCCCCTCTTCGAGCGTGATCGCGCCCACGCCATTGGCTGCTGTGTCCGCTGCTGATGTAGCAGCTGCAGAGTCCACAAACGGCCGTCTGCCGACAGATGGGCACTGCACGAGAAGAGACAGGGGAGGGGAGGGGGGGGGGGGGGGGGAAGGGGGGATTCATGGCAAGGAGAAAGAAGAGTGTTAATGGGAAAGGCTTGTCGTGCATGGGAAACGTTCAGACTAGCTAGGATACGAACACGCAGTAAAGCCCACCCACCGGCAGGAAAACCTATTGTAAGTGAATTTTGCAGGGAATACAACGGCAGGGAGTACGATAGTGCTACACTGTAAGAACCTTTGAAATTTCGAAGGCAGGGAGCACAGAAAGAAAAACGTAACGGCACAGTGTTACGAGGAGCTTCAATGGTGACAAGGCGACACCAGGCGCAGAAGGAATGTCGGTGAGGACAGTGGGAACAGATAGAAGGGGAGGTGGGGTTGATGGTGGGTTTGGGGAGGGGAGGGGAGTGGGGGGAGGGAGGAAGGGAAACGGTAGTGATAGGAGAGAAGACGAGGGCCGATGACACGGAGCGAAAAAGAAGAGGACAGTGCGAGGGGAAAACGGGGGGACCGACTTACGAGCTAAAAAAAAACCGTGGACAATGGTGAAGGGTTTCGGGTAGAAAGGTAGGCTCTTCAAGGGCTAACACACCCCCACCACACACACATGCACACACCTGCACACACGCGAGGTAGACTCGCACGTAGTGGAAGGAGGGCAGCAGCATGACGCACACAATGCCCTGGATCATCAAACCCACCCCGCCCTCCCCCGCCACCCCCCGCTTCCTTCTCCACTGCCCCACATGCCCTCCCCCCTCCCCACACACACCTGCACGCCCGCGAGGTAGACTTGCACGTAGTGGAAGGAGGGCAACAGCATGACGCGCACGGTGCTGCCATCGCGCACTTGCTCCACGATGGCCGCCAGTGTGAGCCCCTTGTTCTGCTCCAGCAGCGCGTGCGCGTCAAACCCCGTGTCCTGCCCCACGCCTGATGGGGGGAGATCCCGAATCGCCGCCTCTGCTGCACCTGGCACCTGAAGGGGCAGGGAATGCAGTGATACCAACATATATATGAGTCAGCCCAAAAGTCACCGCCAATGTGAGCCCCTTGTTCTGCTCCAGCAGCGCGTGCGCGTCAAACCCCGTGTCCTGCCCCACTCCTGACGGGGGGAGGTCGCGAATCGCCGCCTCTGCTGCTCCTGGCACCTGAAGGGGCAGCGCGCGTGCAGTGGGGAACATACGTTCTGAGACGCCTCAAAAGGCACATGCACAGGCAGTGAGTGCAGGGTACTGGCACAGGTTGGTTTTCGGAAGATAAGCCGAAAGTTGTAACGAAGGGAGTAGAAGATAAGCCGCGCCAAACGAGAAGATCTAAATCACGTCTCGCATTTTTATAGCTAGAATTTGGCTTGATCATATATACTCGAACAGGTTGCTCACTGATCCAGCTTTCGGTCGCTATGGTTTTTCATTGCTATGGTTTTTCATTCAGCGTTCCAAGCTGTTTCCAACCGTCGAATGTTCCCTAACTACCTCACAGCGCCGGATCTTACCTTGGTCCAGATCCCGAGCTCCTTGGCCTTGAGCAGCTGCGCCGAATAAGACTCATGCCAGCTTTTTAAGTTGCCACCGGAACTGTTTCGAGCCGTCCGATCTTCACCACCTCACTCTCGGCGTCGAATCTTACCTTGGTCCAGATCCCGAGTTCCTCCGCCTTGGCTGCCTCCTCCGCCTTGAGCAGCTGCTCCAGATACGGACTCACGTCCGTGCTGCTCCCCACTTGCGGCCGCACCTGCAGGACACGACAAGAATGTGCGATGATCGCATTCGGTGATCTAATATTGCATGCAGTGTGCAATTCTCGAATTTGATGTGCTATGATGGCATTCAGTGTGCATTGGTTGCACTCGTAGCAGCAGGATCAGTAGGCCGGAGGCGATGCAACGGCGGCTGCGTGACACGACCGCTGTCTCACACAGCATCAGCACGTGATGTTCCCTCACCAGGCCGAAACGCGACCATCTAATCCTGACTTAAACTACGAAATGCAAGGTCGGAACCGAAGCTCGTCAGGAATATTACGCGCACCACCACCCACGGAAGCAAGCCCGACAGAGCATCCATTCCAGCGAATCCACAAAAGAAGGCGATGGAAGAAAATCTAAATAATGTTTATCAAGAATAGAGATGTGTAAATTCTGAAAGATGCTGCGAACCCACCCGAGCTCAGCAGATGTTGGCGTCGCTCATGAACACATTGCCGAACTCGCGGTGAATGCTGGTGGATGCAGGGGATGCTGATGTCTAATCAAGTAACCTTACGCGACCCCCCAGCCGGCATGCACGATCTCTAGAACGATGTTGCTGCCGTGATTGCAAGGACTCTGGTGGATGTAGGGAAAGGTGATCATGGTGGTTTCTGAGTCGACTCAAACTCACCCGAGCCCAGCCGGCCTGCACGATCGCCAGCGCGATGTTGGTGTCGCCCATGAACACATTGCCGAACTCGCGGTGGATGCTGGGAACCGCGTAGTCCACCTTAAACACCACTTCCTGAACAGGAAACGAAAAGAGAAGAAAATAAAAGAAACAGAATAGTAACAAGAGGAATGCGTCAACGTAACGACTGGCGAAGAAGGACTGGGCAAATTTGGATTCGCTGGGCCGATTGACGCGCAGACAGATGGTACAGAGGGCAAAACGGGGTGGTGGAAAACGTCGCAGAAAAGAAGACGGACCTGTCCGATGCACTTTTTGCGCAGAAACTCGCGGCTCTCCCATGCGAACGGCTCGTCACGACCATCCCTGCGAGCCTGCCAGATTGCGTTCCGGGAAGGACAATTCAATAATAACCATTGACATCAGATTGCTGAGTCCACTTTGTGACCCAAAAGGAAGATGAGGGGTCCAGATCCTGCAAGTTTCAAGCTTGGAAATAAGAGAAATACAGCATGAGAGGACGAGACACGCGTTGCATCGTGGATCTGCGTTGACTCTGCTCAAAACACGTGTGGGTACGCTAGAGACGCATGAGCTGGGCATAAAATGCTACGTGGACTTCATTACTTCGTCGGAGTCACATACACGTGCCGCTGCCGATTCATCTGGGTGAGATCCCTATCAATCTGGCAATCTGAAATTTTAGCACGTACGCAAATCCTACTCTAGAAAGGACAAGCAGGTTTCGACGCATTATAGGCGGATCTCGTCAATTTCATCTGCAGCACGAAATTTCGTACACCTAGATGCTTAAGCGAAGTCATGTGATATCTCCTACAGTTAATTCCTTATGCTCTAGGAGCCGATATGCATGAAAGACGACTCAAATCCTCGTGGTCTTGCAGATTCCCAAGTTCATATCACATTCATTTGCTCACCATCTTGGGAGCGATGAGCGATGCGAGCGTCAGGGTCTTTTCAGGCGGAGGACCCGACTTCACGTTTCCCATGATGACCAGGCAATCACCCGAGGTCACAGCCTTCACACGACCACGGAGCCATCCAGTCGCCATCTTGCTAAGTTAAGAGAATCGAAAAAACCGCTAACGCGCTACGAAAACTACGACTCGAAACAAATGTAGAATGTTAACTCGCCAAGATCTCTTGGCAAGGATCAAAAGGAAAGCCGAGATTCGGAACCAAGAAGGTGAGAAAATGAAGAACCTTATGAAGCACGGGTAAGTTCAAGGTGCTGCTGGTCTGTCCAATCTGGATTTGAGTAGAACGGTGACTGCGGACGCGTCACCTGCCTCGATCGACCCTGCGCAGGATCGATTTTTGATTCGGTTCAAAAAGTTTTCAAACAAATTTAAATGCAACACGCGGGATTTTAGTGCGGTGGACGATCGATCTACCTCGATTTTGCACGATCGATCGAGCCTGAGAAATCCATCCCACACCTACGGATTGGTTGCGTTTTAGTGAGGTTATGGTAATTACTGAACGGTGAGCTAAGAAACCAAAACATTTGGGTGCGGTATGAGAGAGGATGTACGTTTGGGATATAACGAATCTGAATATGGAAGGCGGTAGGTCGGTGTGACGGGGAGGTAGTAGAAACAGATTTCAAGGGGAGATTGACGTTCACGTCAATGTTTGCCAGATATCGTCGATTGTACACAAACCAAGACGATCTGCACACTGATCTGGCAGTGCAAACGGATACTGTAATCGGACGGGAAATGGGAGCGCAGGTGAGCCAGATGAGCGTTGACGCGCTGAGCTGGAGCCCAGGCTTCCAAGGTAACAATCGAAAGTGTTATAGTAACGGGGGGTAAAGACAAGGCAAGGCAGATAGACCGTCGCGGGAATGTATTCGTTACAAGACAAGGTTGATCAACCAAACTGGATCCGTGAGATGTGGAGCTGGGCGGAGGTGGCTGCTGGAAGCCAGGTCATGATTTGCCCCACAACTCGGCACAGCCGAACTGTTTGGACTCAGCTATTGGCGCGAAAACTGTCCTCGAAACTGTCGGCTGGAGTTTCCAACGCTGACGAGCCTCTCTATAAGAAGATTCGCTACTTGACAAGGAAATGTACGAGACTGTACCAGAATCGTTTACTGTACTTACACTTCAGGTTTTTTCCTCTTCCCCAACCCCCACCACCATACCCAGTCCGTCCTTACAGGTCGCTGCTGAAACCCTAGCTTCAACTACAATCAATCTTGCTTCTTCTCCTTGGTTTGGTTTAGGAGTTGGACAAGTTAGCCTTTCTACTCCCCGATCTCGTGCGTTCTTATTTAGTTTTTGTCCGTTTAGAAGAAGTTGCGGACTTTCCGCTCGAGTTTTCTCGAGCGTGCTGCTTACGTTTATGGATCAAAACGATAAGAAGAGGCGCGTTGACAACGGCTCCGGGGCTTCCGAATTTGTTCTCAACGAGATGGAGATGAGGAAGATGCTGGAAATGTTGTCAAAGGAAGATCTTGTTTCTCTCCTCCTTGACGCGTGAGTTTCATTTACCTCTTCATGTTCTCCAATTTTTAAATGTCCTGTTAATTGGCTCTTGATGTTAACGATTTATGATCTTGATTTTCGGCCTGTATTTGAGTAAGAACAAAGGAAGATGCAGTTTGATGTGATGGAAATGATTGAAGCTGCATGCGTGGTTCGCCATTGATGACCTTACTGACGATTGAGAAGTATACGGTTATGCGTGTGCTTACGTCATGGTGATGTGTATGTGCTTACATGGTTGTTGTGTGTGCTTGTGCTTGTGTCTGCATTGATCTGTGATGGTGCATGTGGCGGCTTGCGCGGGACGCGGACTGCGGATGGTTTTCGGATGAATGCTTAATTGACAACCGATGGATGCAATGATCGGATGGCGGTGCTTGGATGACCATGATCGGATGACTATTACGCATGACGATGATTGGATGACGATGATCGGGCGGCGGTGATTGGATGGCGATGATCGGATGGCTGTTACGGATGACGATGGTTTGGTGTCGATGGCTCCATGGCGATGGCTTCATTGATACTGTTTGCGTGTCGCGTGTGTGGTGTCGACGGTTCGGCGCGAGCGTTTTGCCGTTCTCTGGGCGGCTATCGGTTTGTGATCCTTCTTTTTGTTGGGGTTATGGTCGTACGGGCGTCTTGTTTCTTCTTTGGCGGCGATGACGCGCGTGTGCACTATGACGCGACGGTTCTTTTCGACGTGGTAACGGTCATTGACGAATGTCGACGACAGAGCTCTGAAGCACGAGACTGTCGCAGAGCAAGTGATGGCGATTGCCAGCACGAACGTCGCGAATCGGAAGCTCTTCGTGCGGGGTTTGGCATGGGAGACCTCGTCAGAGACGCTTCTTGCTGTAAGCGCGCAAAAATATTGGCACATCAGTTTTTTTTGGACACCAGACTCTTGACTTCCGGACCAGGGTTGCGGTTGTTGTTAGCGCGAGTGGGTGCGAATTATCGTGTCCCCGCGCGCGGTTCGTCGCGGTTGCTCTCCTTTCTCTATATAGAGAAGTACGGTATGCTTGCCCTCCTCGCCTCTTTCCTCCCGTGTAGTCTCCCACAGAGCTTTAAAGAGCTCGGCAAAATCAAGGAGCGAACCGTCAGTACCGATCTGGTATTCACTTTTCTTCCCTGTTCTGGTATGTTTGCGCTCCGCTTGTCTTCTTCCCTCAGGCATTTGAGCAGTACGGCGAGATCGAGGAGGGCGCCGTGATCACGGATCGGACGACCGGGCGGTCGAGGGGCTTCGGCTTCGTTACCTTCAAGTCGTCGGAGTCCGCTTATATGGCTCTTCGCGAACCCACGAAAATGATCGACGTGAGTGCTGCTGAGTCACGTAGAACAGAAGTATGTTTCCAAGAACTAAGCTTTATTTTGAGAGGTTAGTCGTAAGTGAGGTTGAATTCACCAAAATCTTGTCCCACTTCCTCTCCGCCAGGGCATTGCTGCCATGTGCAACCTCGCAGCAGCAGACCCCACGTCCCACCCAACAGCCACCTCCGTCGCTGCTGCTTTTCCCATGGCGGCGGTGGCGGCGACAGCGGGTACCAGTACCGGCCGAGCTGCGCGGTCCCTAGCCATGTCCTCTCGTATCCTGACCTCATCCCGTTTCCATTCGCATTGCTCCCTGCCTTCTCTCCCTCCCTCTCCGCACAGGGCCGTGCTGCCATGTGCAACCTCGCAGCTGCAGGCCCCACGTCCCACCCAACCGCCACCTCCGTCGCTGCCGCCTCATCCCACGGCGGCGGCGGCGGTGACAGCGGATACCAGTACCGGCCGAGTTATTCCAGTGGTGCTGACCTGGTGTATCGGAAGCTGTACGTGTGGGGGCTGCACTTTGACACGACGAACGAGACGTTCAAGGACTACTTTTCGCAGTACGGCGAGATCGAGGAGGGCGCCGTGGCGTTCGACCGCGAGACACACAAGTCCAGGTGAGACTGCGTGGGAGAGAAGGCTTGAGGTGGTACGGTTAGACCGTTCCGCCAATTCTAGACGCGCTAATCTAGATGGGTGAGACGCTGAAACAAGACTAACTGCATGGGTTGACAGAGAGAGGAAAAGGGGCGTGGTTTCAAATGGAAACCATTAAATTGCTTCGAAGTCGAAGGGAGAGTGTGTGGGAATGGGGATGGATGCACGCCGATCTTGATCGCGTCGAACTCCTTCAACTCTTCTTCATTGTGTGTGCATGTGCTTTTTCACTGTTTTCCATTCCCTTATCTCAGAGGCTTTGGCTTTGTGACCTACCGGTCAGCAGATGATGCGAGGAAAGCTCTTGTAGAACCGACCAAGTTCATTGATGTGAGTACTGGCAGCTGTGCTAGCCGCTTGATATGCTTCCTTGCATTGAGCACCTTAAGGGTCTTAAAAGCGCTTGACTTCGGTCTGTTAATGTGGCGCTTCAAGAGACACCAGAGACGAACGCCGTTGTCCCAAGCACAGTCCTGGCTTAAACTGCGGCACTCACATTCCCGTCTGACTCCCCTGTTCCATCCCTGTCGTTCTTCCTCCCCCTCTCAGGGTCGCAAGGTGCAAGTGAAATACGCCCTGGATGGTACCAAGGAGAAAAACGCGTTTGCCCAAGCACAAGCCCAGCTGCAGCAGCAGCAGCAGCTAGCAGCCGCACTCACCGGCGTGGCCCTCCAAAACCCCCTCGCCTTCTCCCCCTACGCTTTCCCTGGCGGCCTCCCAGCCTCCGCCTTCGGTTCGGCCGGGCTGCAAGGCATGGGCTTCCCGACAGCAGCAGCTGGTGCGGTAGGGGGGGCAGCAGCAGGGGGACAGTCGCCAGGTCAGCAGAACCAGGCTGCTGCAGCGGCGGCGGCAGCGCAGCAGTATGTGTCTTCTCTGGGGGCGGCTGCATCTGGGGCGGGTGCTGCTGGGGGTGCAGCAGGCACGGGAGGGGTGCAGGTTTCGTATGGGTTTGGGTCGGTGGCGCCTGGAGGCCTAGGAACCACGTTCTTCACTCAGTAGGTTTGTCTGCCAGGGGTTTGTCTACTAGGAGGAGTAGAAGCATGGAGGTGCACCAGAAGCAGGGGACCAGAGCAGCATAAGGGGCGTGCAGGTTTTTACGGGTTTGGGTCGGTGGTTCCTGGTGATCTAGAAATTATGTTTTTCACTCTGTAGGTGTTGTAGCTGAGAGTGTGCTCTACGAAAAGGATGGGCCACCAGCAGGGGGTGCGTGGATACAAGGCGTTCCTTTGTTGTAAGGGTTTGGGTCGGCGGTGCCTGAGAGTAAGGTATTCATTTTCTTCACTCGTCGTTAGGTTTGTCCGCCAGGGCTGTTTTTATTAGGAGGGTGCAGAAGTAGGGAGGGGGTGCATGAATGGGAGGCGTGCAGGTGTTGCCTGGTGGGTTAGGGGAAACTAGAACCAGGGGGGGGAGTTGGGGGTGCATTGACTAAAAGCATGCAGATGTGGTTTGGCCCTGTTGGTGGCACCTGGTGGGGGCTGGTGTAGTCTGCCTGTTCAGCATATGCGATCATCACTCCGATGTCTTGTGATCTCTTTCATTTGCACCTAGTCTAGAGCGTGGCGTCTTGCACAGTGTCTGCTGAGTGAGAGCAAAGATTAACATTGGCAAGCCCACCAGTGAAGTGATCCACCCCGTGCATATGGCAACAAGAGGCCAGTTACCGTAGTTCTCTCCTTGATGCCAAACCAGTGTCTTGGTAATGCGTGGTCTCACATCACCATGGTAGCAGTGCACTGACTGATGACGATACCAGTAACTTTGAATTTTGCAAGCTCCAAGCTAGATAGTTTTCCGCTGCTGTTTTACCCAGAAATGAACATATTATTGTTTTGAAATATACAGCAACGCACTAGCTAACAATGACAATACAACAATAAAACAAAATAAGAATAACCTCAATCAGAAAATACAGTAACTACCATAATATACGGTATTTCACAATGGTTTAGGGCCATAACTCTCCCATATGCTCTACAACAAAACTGCAAGTGTGATCTACTGCAGGATTATTTACAATGGTCCCATTACCCAATAAGCCTGCAAAGAAAGAGAATGAGCTAGTGAACCGAGTAAAGCTTAGGTACCAGCACTGCTCCCTTGCTTAGGAGCGCAAAGTCTGCCAACGTTGCCAGATAGTTCCCAAAACCCTTCGACAGATGCATGGGAGGTGAAACCGAAAAGTACACCTCGCCAAAAGGCCGTAAAAACTCCACCACTTTAGATCGAACAGTGTCCGTATCTGTTGCCACAAATATCCTCAGGTGGCCAAGACGAGTGGCTGAGGGGCCGCCAGGTGGCACAACGGAGGCCACAAGAAGAGAATCATCAACTGTCCATTCATCCTGCAGCCTCCTCCGCTGCTGAAGCCTCCTTCTTTTCTCCAGCTTACTCCGTGCTTTACCAGAGGGAAGAGAGGGACGGCGTTGCAAGTTCTCAAGTCAGGGATGGGGTGGAGGGGAGATGGGGGAGCAGCAGTGGAGGGAGCAAGGAGGGATGCTGCGGCTGATGGTGAATGAGGTGATGATAAAATACCAACTGATTCTGCATTTGCTGTACCTTTTAGTGTCTTTGTGGCAGTGTTGACGGTAGAGTGAGAGGCCACGACAGCAGATGCTCCAAGATTACCGTCACTAGCATTGGCAGTGCGACCAGCAGCAGCGGCTGTAGCATTGGCAGTGCGAGCGGCTGTAGCATTGGCAGTGCGACCAGCAGCAACGGCTGTAGCATTGGCAGGCAAACGAGCAGTGTCTGTTGCACTAGTGAAACCCCCCGCAGCGGCCTTCTTGATGCGCAGGAACTGCATCAGTCGGGCGATGCAGCGCCACTGGGTGGGCTTCATGAGCTCCTGCACACGCAGCATCTCCTCTTGCTGCGCCCTCTCCCGGCAACTCATGTCTTCCCTGTTCCTGCAGTAATCTCCCTCCACATTACTGCTTTGGGGAGAGGGGCGTAAGATAGGAAGAGATGAAGTGAGGATCACGGTTGATGGAGAGAGGCTCACAACAAAACAAATCAAAACACACAAACAGGAACCTTGATCTGAGAACATACTACACTAGATGGGGAAAAGGAAAAAGAAAAGAAAGAAAGACAGAAAGAAAAAAGCACTCACATTGACAGCCCACGGATGTGAATTGAAACGTCAAACTGCACCCGCAGTCCCTCCCCTTTCCTAACCATCTGCGGCTCCACCGTCCCTTCTTGCACCTCCCTCTCTGTCCTCGACCCTATCTCTGGTAGCACCAGCGGCGGCACCACCCTGAGATCTCTATCCACCACCTCTTCCACCCCTGGCTTGGGACCCTTGCTGAGGAGAAGAGAGAGCACTTTGGAGCGAATGCACCAGATGGTGCGGCAGTTGAAGGCGCTGTGCACGCACTGGTTCATCTGAGGGTCCGTGCGCCACGTCTTCTCGAAGAAGTTACCTACCAGGGACAGGGGGGATAAGTGGGAGAAGAAAAATCAATCGCACTTGTGACTGGGTGCACCAGATGGTGTGGCAGTTGAAGGCGCTATGCACACACTGGTTCATCTGTGGGTCCGTGCGCCACGTTTTCTCAAAGAAATTACCTAAGAGATATGAATTGGATGTGAGAATAAAAGGTCACGGAGGAGGGAGAAAACGGATGAGAGTGCGCTGGTTCACCTGGGGGTCTGTGTCTTTTCTAATTGACTTTTGAGTCGACTCAAAAGTTGAAGGAATCTATTAGAGAGCGTAGCGATAACGAGAGAGTTTCTGCTATGGGAATGATGTTGCGCCAGCAACTTGGTAGAGTTTCGGTAGCATTTGCCTCTAAGGACTTGGTGAGAATTGAAGTAGCATTTTGGACTTCACTAGGAACATATAAAATTATATCAAACACACAAGCAACACAAACATATATAGGCAGGCGAGGGTTTCACAAGAGGTTGCGTAGGCGCTGCGAGTAACCCAACCCCACGAAAGTGGTGTGTGGGTGAGCGAACGCGCCTCGCCAATTTCCCAACCCAACTCAGCATCGACTTCTCGCTTCCGTGCACACCACTCCACCAACACAGCAAGGAGTGGTGCGACTCTCAAGGAAGCACCAACGACTCCCACGGACTCTCGCTTCTTCATGCGAACTCCTGCGCAGTTGCACATAGTCACACGTAGTCACACCCGACCTTCACTGAACTCATTCATCGGTGCCGAGTAGACTCAGTCGTTAGGCGTCGACCTGCCAAGTCAAAGGTGATCGAGGGCCCTTGCTGTTGTAGGGCCCTCTAACACTCCCCTGCCATACTACAGCAAGGCCCTTTATAATCACAGGGCATGCATACACACGTACACTCTCAAAGTGCAAACACGCACCGCACCAGCCATGGATAGGCCATGGCACCATCCACATCATGGAGTGTTTAGGTCTCACCCCCCGCACTCGAAAGCCTCACCTGCCCCACAGCCTCGAAGCAACGACTGAAGGCGGGGAAATGCAATGCCTTCGTGAGGTAGTCAGCAGGCTGCTCGCTCGTAGGGATGTACTGCAGCTGCAGCTTCCTGCGCTTGACCATGTGCTGCAGCCACATGTGGCGACGCTCCATGTGCTTGAGGCTCCCCTTGAGCCCCATGCCACCTGCCACTGAAATGGCGGAGGAGTTGTCCACAAAGAGAGTAGTGGGTTCCTCACTCCTCAGCAGTTGAAACTCTGCCAGCAGGAAGCGCAGCCTGCGCGCCTCCTTCCCAGCCTCCACAGCAGCAACATACTCAGACTCAGTGGAGGAGAGGGTGGCGCAACGAATCCTCTGGCTTGCCCATGAGACAGCAGCACCCCCGAGCACGAAGACACAGCCACCTGTGCTGGTCCTGTTCTGCTTGTCCCCTGCATCATCAGCATCGGCGTAGCCCACCAGCTCCAAGGACTCCGGCCCACCACCAAACTCCAGCGCCACATCCCTGCTCCCCACCAAGTACGTCAAGCACCGGTCCAACTCCTTCCAGTGCTGATCACTCCGCACAGTCTGGCCCGACCCCAGCTTGCTGCATGCGAACGAGATGTCGGGACGGGTGGTACAGGCCGCGAACTGCAAGGATCCCACCTTCTGCCTGTACTCCTCCTCCTGGCGAGACTGCCATCCCACATCCTCAAAGGTCTGCACACTGAAAGGGTCAGAGGAAAGAGGGGTGCGAGGCACTCGCAGCGGCTGCTCCCCGTCAAAGAAGCGCCTATGAACCTTGTCCACATAGGCCCCCTGGTGCAGCCACAGCCTCCTCGTAGGCCTGTCCCGAATCAGCTGCAACCCCAGATACTTCTCCACAGGGCTAATCTCCCGCAGCTGAAACGCACTCTGCAGCAGCTCACGCAGCTCCCCAAGCATGCTCTGACTGCGGCTGGCAGCAAGCAGGTCATCCACATACACCAGCAGCCAGCACATCTCCCCATCAGCATCAGTTTTGAAGTACAGAGCCTCATCCACCTTGCTCTTCTTCCATCCAGCCCCAAGCAGCACCCCATCCAAGGCCTCATACCATAGCATCGGGCTCTGCTTGAGCCCATACAGACTTTTCACCAACTTACAGACACGAGGAGTCCCATCCTCGTAGTAGCTCGGCTGCTCCATATAAAGGTCTCGGTCCAACACGCCATGGAGGAACGCATTCTTTACATCGAGCTGCATCAGGTCCAAATCAAGTGCAGCTGCAATCGCCAGAAGCACACGCGCCGTCACATAGCTTCCCACAGGGGCGTACGTCTCCTCATAGTCCACCCCTGCCACCTGCGTGAACCCCTTCACCACCAGCCTCGCCTTCTCACGCTCCACTATCCCATCAGGTCGGAACTTGGTGTTCAAAATCCATCGGTTCTTCATCACATTCACCCCTGGCGGACGCGGAACCAACTCCCACGTCCCCTGCTCAATCAAGCTCCGCATCTCTTCATCCATCGCCTCCTTCACCTTGTCGCCCTTCCAGCAGCCCAAGGCCTCCTTCACTGTCATTTTCGCTATGTCCCACTGCCTCTCAGGATCAGCTGCAACGTCCGGGTCCAGGTCAGTCCACTCCTCGTCCTCCTCCTCGTCATCCAAGCCCGCTGGCTCAACCACTACAGCCCAAGCGTATCGAACAGGCGGGACACCACGAGTGATGCGAGTGGAGCGACGCACTGGTGCAGTGGTCGTCCCAGAAACCAACACACGACCACCATCTCTAATTCCCCACATCTCCTGCTCCCCTGTCTGCGGCTCCCCTGTCTGCTGCTCCCCTAGCTGCTGGTCCACCATCTGCTGCTCTTCAATCCGCTCCTCCCCTGTCTGCTGCTCCCCAATCTGCTGCTCCCCTGTCTGCTGTACTCCATCCATACTGCTCTCGTCCTGCAGCTGCTCAGTCTCAAGGCGCTGCCCGTCGGTGATCTCCACAGACGGTGGCACCTCCATCCCCCCCCCACCAACGGGCGGCGCCGTGGAAGACGAAGAGGAGGGCGGAGCAGGTGCAGGAGGGATGGAGGGTGAAAGGGGGGATGGAATAACAGGAGGAGGAGGGGAAGGCAAGGGGGGTGAGGAGGAAGAAGGCGGGACAGGGGGAATCACACGCGGGTAGACTGAAGGCGGAGGTGGGGTGGGGACCGAGGTAGGGACATAGGGCATAGCAGGAGGTGCGACCACCTCCTCCTCCTCCTCCGCCTCCTCGAGAGTGATCGGGAAGAGTGAGGGAAGGGGCTCATAGGGCATCGAACGCCCCCCATGCTCCTGCTGATGCCAAGCTTTCCATCCTGCTAGGGACATGGTCTCATAGAACACAGCTTCCACAGTGGTGATGAGGCGGTTGGACTCCAAGTCCAGCACGGTCCAGCCTTTGCTCGCAGCTGACACACCCAAGTGCAACCCCCAGCGAGCCTTAGGCGCCAGCTTCCCCCCACGCTGCGACCGTGGTACCATGTACTGCAGCATGCAGCCCCAAACACGCACCATACTGACATCAGGTTTGCGTCGGAAGGCGAGCTCGTACGGCGTCACACCAGAGGGTAGTGAGGCGTGCTCCACGCGGTTGCGCACCCAGACGGCCTGAGCCAATGCCAGGTGCCACCAGTGATGCTGCACACCCATGTGCAGCAACATCGTCCGCACCGCCTCCACAATGCTGCGCATCTCCCTCTCGGCCATCCCGTTCTGCTCTGGCGTATACGGGCATGTGAGGTCATGGATGATGCCTTTACCGTCGAGGAAGAGCGTGAAGTCGTGCCCCAGGAACTCGCCACCCCGATCAGTGCGCAGCGCCTGCACCGTGGTCTTGCACTGTCGCTCTGCCATCGGGAGCCACTTTTGGAACGCCGCCAGCGCATCACTCTTCTGGGCCAAAGGGTAGACCCAGACATATCGCGTCTTGCGATCCTTCAGCACCAAGAAGTAGCGGCTGCCGTCCTTAGCTGCTTCACGGAAAGGGCCACACAGGTCAGCATGCACCACCCCGAGCAACTCATCCTCCTCCTCTCCCACAGAAGGAAAGGTATGACGAGTGATCTTTCCCCCAACACAGGAAACACAAGGTATGCCTGACTTGCCCCCCTTCTCCAAATCCAAGCCCTTCACCGACCCGTGAGCCGCTGTGCGCTCGATGGCATCAATACCAACGTGTGCCATACGCGCATGCCACAGGTCCCCCTTAGACCGCACGCCCGTCGCCAAGGTACGAAGTGCCACCGTTTCGCCTTCCTGCTGCTGCGTCGAACACGGCTGGAAGTTCGTGCAGAGAACACGCCCCTTGAACTCCGCACGACCAAGGAGCGATCCATCTGGTGCCCGCAGCAAAGTTACATCCCCGGCATCCAGCAACTGCACACCACATTCACGCAGCTGCCCAGCAGAGAGAAGACTCGCCTGCACTCCTGGTACGTACAGCACGTCCGGCACCAAGACACGCCTGCCCCCCTCTCCAAGAAGAGTGACTGTGCCCCGCCCCTGCACCTCCTGAAGCGCGCCGTTGAAGCCAGTAACCTGTTTAATACTGCCGCCGCTGCTCATCACCACAAAGGCAGAACGATCTCCCATGAGATGGTGGGAGCATCCGCTATCAAGCAGCACGACGCTCGGGTTCGCCTTCACAGCAGCTGCAACAGCCTGTAAGGCCTCCCCGCCCTCAGGCTCTAGCACAACGAGAGGAGTCTGCTCCACAACGGGCTTCACCATCGCACATGATGATTGCCCGCTCCCCTTAGAGCCATCACCCCCCTTTCCGCTGCTACCTCCAGAACCCTCTCCACCGGTGTCTGCCTCCTTATCCGCCCGCTGCTGACAGTACTTAGCAACATGCCCTATTTGTCCACACACATAGCACTTCCCTTTGAAGCCCCCTTTCCCCCCCTTCGGCTGGCCATCCTTACCCCCTTTCCACTTCTCCCCTCCCCCACTAAGCCCACCCCCATTCTTAGGTTGTTGCTGCTGTGCCGTAGTGGGAGGGGAAGGGAACGAATTTTGCTGGAATTGGGGCTTACCCTTCTTGGTAAAGACCTGGTTAGCCTGGGGAAGGAATTGGTCCTTTCGTCCCTCTGACGCCAGCGTACATTCCTCCTCGATGATGTAGCTAGCGAGGGTGTTCTCGTCCAACTCCTTGCGCACCTGCGGCAACTTCAGCATCCTGCGTAAGAGGTTGTACTGCTGCGGCAACCCCTTCACAACGTGAGTGATGTACGACGCCTGCGAGTAATCTACGCCGGCCATCCTCAGGTTCACTAGGATCTGCTGCGCACGGTTGCAATAGGACGTAGCGGACTCATGCTCTCCCATCTCGAGGTTAGTGAGCGCCTGCTCTAACTGACCGATGTACAGATCGTCCTTCGCCATGTACGTGCGCATAATAAACTGCCATGCCTGATAGCCGGCATCAACCTTCATGCGACACGCTTTAAGGGCGATTTGTACGGTTGGGGAGAAGCATCGGGAAATAGTGGTGAATGTCAGCAACTGCATCGCGCGGAACTGAGAGAGATGCGCAAGCGCACGCGCTGGTGGAATAGGGGTGGTGCCATCTATGAATCGCTTTAGCTGAGCGATCTCAAGCTGCGGCTCGATTGATTCTGTCCACGTCGACAGGTCGTGACGTCCTTCTAACGGACTAGTGACAACGATCTTGTCTGGAGTGAATCTGAAGTAGCCATAGTTGGGGGCTATTCCCTCGTCCCTCGACATCGATCCAATCGGGGTAACGCCCGGCATAGTCTCACTATCGAACTCTTCCGCAATTCCTCCCCCAGCAACGCTTCGCCGTCCTACATTCGCATGCTCTCGTGATGCTGCTGCACGATGAACACGCTCCTGTACACCGCCGACGCTAGCCGTACTAAACCGAGTTGGTCTTCGCAGGACCCCACGCGACATCAACCCATCAAACTCCTCGTCATCGCTATTTCCGCCATCGACAGCCATATCCCACGCACTAGTACCTCCCGCAACTTGCTCAACATTCTCTACACGTGGGGAAGGGTGCTCACGACGCCGACGCGAGCGCAATCCCTCCAACATTAGCTCGTATTCAATATCACTAATCTCACCACGAGAATGACGAGCCACGAGATCCTCCTCTAGAGTGCGCAAATTACCGGCCTCCACGTTCGCCTCCTCAGTACTCATCCTCTACGACGTCTCTATAAGGTACCACAAATTAAAATAAAGTGCCCCTTCCTTAAATCCCTCGTCTCGGGGTCACCTCACAAGGGTCCTCAGACGAGTGGTAATAAATTACCAAACGCCCTATCCTTGGGTCCGAGAACGTAACTGGAGGGAAATCAAGAGAGGTTCAACTTAGATTAATAAGCGCCCTTCACTAACGCCGCACGCCAAGGCGAGTATACGAACGCGAATATCAACGACGACGGAAATCTATGCGTGTTCGTTCCACGCTCACCGCACCATGAAGCAATCTATTAGAGAGCGTAGCGATAACGAGAGAGTTTCTGCTATGGGAATGATGTTGCGCCAGCAACTTGGTAGAGTTTCGGTAGCATTTGCCTCTAAGGACTTGGTGAGAATTGAAGTAGCATTTTGGACTTCACTAGGAACATATAAAATTATATCAAACACACAAGCAACACAAACATATATAGGCAGGCGAGGGTTTCACAAGAGGTTGCGTAGGCGCTGCGAGTAACCCAACCCCACGAAAGTGGTGTGTGGGTGAGCGAACGCGCCTCGCCAATTTCCCAACCCAACTCAGCATCGACTTCTCGCTTCCGTGCACACCACTCCACCAACACAGCAAGGAGTGGTGCGACTCTCAAGGAAGCACCAACGACTCCCACGGACTCTCGCTTCTTCATGCGAACTCCTGCGCAGTTGCACATAGTCACACGTAGTCACACCCGACCTTCACTGAACTCATTCATCGGTGCCGAGTAGACTCAGTCGTTAGGCGTCGACCTGCCAAGTCAAAGGTGATCGAGGGCCCTTGCTGTTGTAGGGCCCTCTAACAAAAGTCACCTCGTTACAATGGCACACGACACTTTTGAGTCGACTTAACATTCAAACGGATGAAAGTGCACTGGTTCATCTGGGGGTCTGTGCCTTTTCAAAGAAATTACCTACCAGGGATGCAAATGAGCATGGAAGGGCAGAGAGGAGGCACGTTTTTTCCAAAAATCATTACCTAGCAGGAATGGAAACGAACAGAGAAGGGCAGAGAGGAGGCAAATTTTCAGAGAAATTACCCTATTAAATATGAAGGGGATTCGAGCACAAAGGGACAGATAGGATAAGTGGAAGGAGAAGGAGAACCCATTGCACTTGTGACTGGTTGGTGGCAAGAGAGCGAGTGGCATACCCGTGTAAACGGCCACGACATTTGGGCTGTAGTCCAAGCCATGCATCTCGAGTGTAATCGCATTCATGAGCTTTGCGTGCTTGCGGATGTCCCCTTTATAGTGCAACTCGTCTATGCCACAGTAGAATGCGTTACACAAACGCTCCAAGACCTGGAAAAGGTGAAGAAGAGAGGAAGAGAGGAAGAGGTCGCAAGTGACGGAATTGTGGAACGGGGTTCCAACACAGACGCTTCATCAGGATGCAGCATGCAGGGATGGAGTTCTTTAAAGAATGATGGGTTACACAGACGCTGTAGTCCCTTCTTTGCCACTCTCCTTACATCCAAAACCCCACAACCTGAGACGCCCTCACCTGCTTGTGGTTGCCGCCCTTCCACCTCAACAGCCTCCTTCCCGACAGCAGCGCGAAGATGAAGGCCGAGGTGTACGCCCTCAGGGAGTTCCCCAGCTTAACCTCCCAAAACCCAGAATCCTTAACTCGCTCTCACCTGCTTGTGGTTGCCGCCCTTCCACCTCAACAGCCGCCTTCCTGACAGCAGCGCGAAGATGAACGCCGAAGTGTACGCCCTGAGCGAGTTCCCCAGCCCAAACCGCGGCATCCAGATCAGCCAGCGCTCCTTCAGCATGAAATCTTCGAGGTCTTGAGGGATGGACTCGTTATTCTCCACCTTGCGCTGCAACTCGCTCAGAAGCTTCAGTTCTGAGACGCCAGCGTCTGACTTCCAAATGGGGGCGTTGACGTAGGCTGATTTAGGGAGGATGCCTTGACACGAGGGGGTGTTCTGATGTGAGGAAGGAACGGACAAGGCAGGGAGGGAGAGCAAATGAGGAGGCCAAATGAGAGGCTCAATGAGATGCCAAAGAAACCACCATGATGCCAAAAGGAAATATATTTCGCTAAGCATTGCAAACCACCATGATGCCAAAAGGAAATATATTTCGCTAAGCATTGCAAACCACCATGATGCCAAAAGGAAATATATTTCGCTAAGCATTGCAAACCACCATGATGCCAAAAGGAAATATATTTCGCTAAGCATTGCAAACCACCATGATGCCAAACCGCCAAGAACGAACAATCCTGCCACGTGATGAACAATGCCCTGCCAGCTGTCATCCACTCGACCCACCAGCCACGGCCAAGCTGCCACCAGCTATCAACAGCCGCAGTGGTGATTCACTTAACCTTCATTGCTAACAGGTTACCGCACCACTGCCCAGGCTAAGTACTTCTCTTAGCTAAGCGATTCACGCTTACCCAGACGTCATACCGGACGAGGCCCCGCATAAACATGTCATGCCAGGCCACCTAGCGCCCAATCAGGTTCTGATACCGGACTGAGCGACGCCCTGCCCCGCATAAACACGCAACGACAGCTGGCGCTCAGCCAAGCCACGGGCGACTGCCACAGCGCCACGTACCGATCTTTCCTCATTCGCTAACTGCTCACTTTGACGTCGTACCGGGCATTCCCCCGCATGAACATGCCATGCCGTGCCAGTTGGCGCCCAGTCGGGGCTTGACGCTTGGTTTGGTACCGTGCATTGCCCTGCCCCCGCATGAACATGCCACGCCAGGCCAGCTATCGCCCAATCGGGGTTTGACATCGTACCGGGCGTCGCCCTGCCCCGCATAAACATGCCACGTCAGCTAGCTAGCGCCCATCCAAGCCACGGTCCACTGGCACAGCGCCATTAACTGATCTTTCCTCGCTCACCTTGACGTCGTACCGGCCGCTCCCCCGCATGAACATGCCGCGCCAGCTGCTGCCAAGCCGCTCCACGGGCAAGTGCCACTGGTAGTAGCTGTCTGGAAATGCCAACATGTCCTCCTGCTTCCCCACCTCACCTTGATGTTGCATCGTGTGTTCCCCCGCATGAACATGCCGCTCCAACTGTCGCTAAGCCTCTGCACGGGCAAGTGCCATTGGTAGTAGCTGTTCTGGATCCGAGACAGCATCTCCTCCTCCTTTTCCACCTCTCCTTGATGTCGTATTGTGTGTTCCCCCGCATGAACATGCCGCGCCAGCTTTTGCCCAGCCTCTGCACGGGCCACTGCCATTGGTAGTAGCTGTCCGGAAACGCCAACATGTCCTCCTGCTTCCCCACCTCGTTCACCCACCGAAACGCTGACGTGGATTCCTCCCAAGGCCCACCCACCCATCCATCCGCCAGCCTCCTTCCCCTTCTCCCTCTCCTACTACTTGGCTTTTCAATCGTTGTTCTCTCGGTGTTTTCCGGCAGCCCTGCCATCCATCTGTCCACCAGCCTTTGTCGTCCCCTCGCCCTCCCGCCTCGACTGACCGGCTTGGGGAACCCACTTGCTCCTCCCCTCGCTTCCATCACTCCGACTCTCACATCCCTCACACCGCTCCTCTCCCCCTCTTTCCGCCTTTTACCCCTTAACCCCGTGCTCTTCCTCCCGTTTCGGCCCTTAATATCCCCCTGCCGTACAGGTTGACCTTTGCTTTTTCCCTCCCACGCATGAATCTCCCTCAAGACAGACTCAACAATATCTCCTTTTTCCCCCTCCTGATCTAGTATCTCCCCTTCCTCCTCTCCTTCCCATTCGCCCTCTCCCTCCCCCTCTTCCCCATCCGTCTCCTCGTTACTGGCGCCATCACCACGTATCTCAAATTCCTCCATTTCCTCCTCCCTCTCCATCCCCTCACCCTGCTCACCAGCCTCACCAAGGCCACTACTAACAGTACGAGCCTTCCAACCATCCCCATTCCGCTCATTGCTGCCGCCCATCTGCGCCAATTCAGCTGGTTCATCTCCGCCGGGTTTGACTCCGCCGTTCATGTCTCCAGATTTCTCCTCCCTACGGGCCTTCACACCATCCCCATTCCGCTCATTGCTGCCTCCCATAAGAACCAGCTCAGCTGGTTCATCTCCTCCAAGTTGATTTCCGCCGTCCATCTCTCTAGATCCCTCCTCCCTGCTCTCTTGATCCGTTTCCGATTCTCCATTTCCGAATCCCCTCCGCTCCTCGAAACCGGCCTTCGTTTTAGTCATATCGTTCCAGTCGCATCCCTCCCATTCCTCGCACGGCAGAATCAGCTCCAAAAGCGGGTCGCGAGTAGCCGGCGGCGGCCTCCTCCCACCACGAGTTAACGGCCGGTAACTACCACCTGACGGCCGGTATGCTTGAGCCGGGCTCTTACTTCGGCTCAGCTGATGAACAGCATTGCGGGTTTTCGTCGGTGTCCCGTTACTGTCCGGCAGCCTACTGTAGTATCCGTTGAACGGAGCTTCGATCCCATGTTCTGATGATGGACGAGATCCGTCAGCTGATGAAACGTAGTATTTCCTGCTCGAGGTCGAAGGGGAGTGTAAGGACGCAGTGACCGACGATAGCAGCGTGCCCAATAATAATAATAAGATTAGCAGCAAATGTGGTTGATTAAGAGTGATTCCTCTAATGCGATTGAGAGTGGTTCTTGGAATGCGAGCAGAGGCTGCAGCCATTATAGATGATCATATAAACCCAAGAAGATTTAAAGTGCTATTATTGGAATACTGACTGGTGAAGGTGCGGCTACTAACCAGTTGCTGCGATTTTACCTACAAGAGTTTAGGCAGCAGAAGTGCGACTTCTTTCCAAGCAGCACGGCAGCAATCTTCAGAAGTGGCAGGCGTGGGGTACTGCTGATTCATGAGACCTCACGGAACCTTCTATGAGAAAAAGGAAGAATTTCGACCGTCGCCAAATAACCTATCAGGAAACAGCGACGAGTTTCGAGAGCCATTAGACCCTATCAGAGAACAGCAAGCACCGAGTTTTGACCCGTTTCAAAACACAGACCAATCAGAAAGCGGCAATCTCCTAACAAGGATGCTTGTGCACACACAACTCACTCCGCTTGTGGTGCTGGTTTGCTTGGGTGCTGCGGTCAGTGCTGCCCGGCGCTGGGCACGCTGCTGGAGCACTAACAAATAAAACACTGTACACTTCAGGTGATTAGTCGGCCCGTCAAAACAAATTGACGGCCTGTCAGCTGCCGGGAGAATCTGCATGATGTTTCGGGTCTGACCGCCGCGGGGACAGCCTGCAAATGTCGGTTGCCGTCGCTTCCTTGGTCCTAAACGCCTGGGGGAAAACTGACGTTTGCTGGCTTATACCCTTGGCCCAGATGCCATATCAGATGATCTGGTAACTTGTTCCGTTGGCCTCAAATAAAAAATATCGGACCAAGAAAACCCGAACCAACCATCCGGTTCGGAGGCGTGGGCTGGGCTTGCCGAGCGAAATATATTCGGACCAGACGAAGGCCACCCACCTACGCGGCATGCCCGAAATGCCGCCAGCATATGGCGGCAGGTTCGGAGTCACACAGAGGGCGTGGAAACTTTTCCTCGAAGTAGTGACGATTGAAGCCAATTCGTTTTGTAGACGTTCTATTCTTCTAATGTTGGTAAGTATTATTGTAACGTGCCTAATAGGAAGTGCCCAAACGAGAAGAAAGCAACCTCATAGAATACATAAATCAATATAGATATTCCAATCTTTTACGGCCATAACTCTCCCATATGCTCCACATCAAAGCGGCAAGTGTGCTCTAAAGCAGGATCAGCAATGACTGTCCCATTACCCAACATGCCTGCAAAAATAGCAAATGTGCTAATGTATCGAGTGAAGCTCAGCAACACTGCTCCCTTGCTTAGAAGTGCAAAATCCGCCAACGTCGCCAAATAGTCCCCACCAGATTTTGACAAGTGAACAGCAGGTGATACCGAGAAATACACCTCGCCAAAAGGTCGTAAATTTTCCACCACTTGTGTTAGAAAAACTTCTGTATCTGTAGATACAAATATCCGCAGGTGGCCTAGATGAGCGGCTGAGGGCTCGCCAGGTGGCATGATGGAGGCCACAAGAAGCGAATCGTCAACCGTCCATTCATCCTGCAGCCTCACCCGTTGCTGAAGCTTCCTCCTCCTTTCTTTCTTAGTCCCTACTTTAGCACTTTCCTGTGGATGCTCTGAAAGCCGCGTGTGTTCACTTGAAGCTGCATAAAGGGTGGATTTATGCGGTCGGGTTAGGAAGGGAAGGCAAGGGGGGACGACAGAGGAATATGAAGGTTGTGAACATAGGGATGGGGTGGAGTGCAGAGCCTGGGGAGATGGAGGGGCGGCATTAAGATTTTCTTTACTCATAGTGGAAGGGCAGCAGTACCAAGAGATAACACTTCACTGTTGGTGGCAGCATGAGAGGCTCAACAGGGTTGAGCAGTCTAAAACTCGTGCAAAAACAAAAAAAAGAGGTTCTGAATATAAGAATGGGGTGGAGTGGAGAGCCAGGGGAGATGGAGGGGCAGCACTGGGGTTGCAAGGAGGGATGCAAAGGCTGATGGTGAAATGGCCGATGCTGAAATGGTCGAACGTAAGATGGATGATAAATTGTGGCGAGTCACTGCGCTTGTTGCTTGTTGACTTTTTTGTTTGCTTATTGTGTTGTTTTGTTTGCTTTGCTCTTTGCTTGTTGCCTTTGCAGTACCTTTGGTTGACTTGGTGGCTGAGTTGGCGGTAGCAAGAGGGGCTTTACCGTTGATTACCCCCACGGTATTGCCTGTAGCATTGGCCGAACCATCAGCAGCAGCTGTAGTATTAGTGAAACCACCCGCAGCGGCTGTGGCATTAGGAGATCGGCCAGGAGCGGCTGTGGCATTACTGAAACCTCCAGCAGCGGCCTTCTTGATCCTTAGGAACTGCATCAGTCTGACAATGCAGCGCCACTGCCTTGGCTTCATGTATGCATGCGCCCGCACTTGCTCTCCTCTCTGCGCTTTCTCCCGGCATTTCTTGTCATTTTTTATACAGTAATCGCCCTCCACGTTGCTGGAAAGGGGGGGGGGGGGGAGTTGGGGAACAGGGGATGGGCGGGGAAAAGGGTGCGGAGGGGGGGGCAGGAAGGGAAGAGTATGGGGATGGAGGGTGGTGGCAGGGGGCCAAGGGTGCAGGGGGTAGGGACCAGGGTGAACAGAAGGGGTGGTGTGGGGGGGAGAGTGGGGTGGGGAGGAACTGCATCAGTCTGACAATGCAGCGCCAGTGCCGTGGCTTCATGTATGCATGCGCCCGGACTAGGAGTACTTAAATCCCCACAATAGCAGGTCCACGAATGTGAAGCGCCACGTCAAATTGCAGCCACAGCCCATCATGCCCTAAAACCCCCTGAAAAATACCCCCTTCGTCTTGAACTCACATGGCATGTCCACGGATGTGCAGCGCCACGTCAAACTGCAGCCTTAATCCCTCCCCTTTCTGAACCATCCGTGGCTCCACCTTCCCTTCTGTCACCTCCCCCTCCTTCCTCCCCACCTCTTCTCCTCGGAGCACGAGCGGCGGCACCACCCTCAGGTCTCTGTCCACCACGTCTTGCATTCCCGGCTTGGGGCCGTTGCCGAGGAGCAGAGAGAGCACTTTGGAGCGGATGCACCAGAGGGAGCGGCAGGAGAAGGCGTCGTGCACGCACTGGTTGACCTGGGGGTCGCCACGCCACAATCTGTCAAAGAACGCTCCTGGTGGGAATGGATGGGGTAGGGGGAAGAGGAGGGAGTGCAAGGAGAGAGCACAGCGGATGCACCAGAGGGAGCGGCAGGAGAAGGCGTCATGCACGCACTGGTTGACCTGCGGGTCGCCACGTCACAATCTGTCAAAGAATTTGCCTGAGAATGATGGGTGGGATGCAAACGCAAAAGGGCAGGGAGGATGGACGAGAAGCAGGAGGAGCAGCGAGCGCACTTGCGATTGGTTGCGAGAGTGGGAGTGGCAACCAAAGGTTGGTGTTATGTATGTATTAGCATGCATTATTTGGAATAGATATGCATTGGCATATATCAGTATGCTTCGGTATGCTTCGAAATGCATGAGTTGCAGCAGCATCTATATGCGGGCGGGAGTCTTTGGGCCGATTACGGGTCTACTAAATAAAATGACTGGCAGGCAAAGGTAATATGATATGATGTCCGCATTGGTGTGTAGAATCGCGAAAACAAAACCCCGCTGATAATTTAGCAAACAGAAGGTACAACGATACGGAGTTTGCTTAATCAATGGGTTGCTGGGCTAGTAAATTTGGGAAGGGGAACTGATGTAGCAGTTATCACCCGCATGCATTTGCTTGTATGAATGAGTTGAATAGCACACCTGAATAAACAGCCACAACATTTGGGCTGTAGTCAAAGCCGTGAATCTCGAGCTTTTTTGCATCCATGAGCTTTGCATGCCTGCTGATATCCCCTTTGTATTGCAACTCGTCTACCCCACAGTAGAATGCGTTGCACAGACGGTCCAAGACCTGGGAAATGTGAGGATGGGGTGCAGGGGTGGCACGAGGTGGAACTGTGGGAAAATGTGGTGCATAGAGGGATGACAATGTGTTTTGAGTCGACTCAAAACAATGCCTGGGAAATGTGAGGATGGGAGAAAGGGGTTGCACAAGGTGGAAGTGCGGGAAAATGTGGTGCATAGAGGGATGACGACTTGATGATGTGCAACTCTTTTTCTGAGACATCTCAAAATTCTGCTCATAGTGTGCAAGTATGAATCGAGGCGCTTCAATGCTCAACTGGAGTGCAACCAGGTTTCTACTTCTGGGAAAACAGAAGGCAACTATTCTAAAATGATGTGGCTTCAGAAAAAGGAAGCGGTTTCTGAGATACACACTTTTCTTTATATCGGAAGGGCCTAAAGCTCGTTACATAAAATGCGGTTTTGAATATATTTATTTTTGGCCTTTATTTTCTACGAAGCTGGTAGACAAGAGCAATGGGTCGCCCCGACCCGACCCGACCCTACCCCACCCCACCCGGCCCGACCCGACCCAACCCGACCTGACCCAACCCGACCCCACCCACACACCCCACACGACCCAACCCGACCCCACCTGGCCCGACTCTACCCGACCCGACCCGACCCGACCCGACCCCACCCGACCCGACCCGACCCAACCTGATTCGACCCGACTCGACATGAACCAACCCGACTAGACCAGACTCAACCCAACCCGATGGGGTAGCTGATGGGTGATGCAGTGTTTTCTAGGGAAGGGATTGGCTGATGAGAAACGATGTGTTTTTTGGGAAAGGGGGTGGCTGATGGGAATTGAGGTGGCTTCTAGGAAAGGGGGTGGCTGATGGGAATTGAGGTGGTTTCTAGGAAAGGGGGTGGCTGATGGGAATTGAGGTGGTTTCTAGGAAAGGGGGTGGGTGGTTGGTGGGAGATGAGATGGTTTCTAGGAAAGGGGATGGCTGATAGGGAAATGATGGTTCTGAGGAAATGGGGCGGCGGACGGGAAATGAGGTGGTTTCAAGGAAAGGGGGTGGCTGAGCTAAACAAATGAGGCACTCCCTATCGAGAGTCAGGAATAAGGGAGGTGGTAGAGGGATGGGAGTGTCATGAAGCTATGACGCATTAGCTATACTCTCATACTCACTCCCGGATGCCCATGCCCACATGACATGACCCACCCACACCCAGATGCACCCATTCCGCCATGCTCTAATGATGCCACACGCATTGCCACTTACCTTCTTATGAGGCCTTATGCCGTATGTCCATATATGCCCCTCCATCCCCCCTCACATTTGCATGCCAGCATGGTCGAACCATACTCTCCCTTCCCTCGCCTTCTGGTGCAGCCCCCTATACCATGCAACATGCCCCAGTGCACCCTCCATTGAACCCCCACATTCGCATGCCACATGCTTGTTCCATACTCTCCCCGCCCTCTCCTGCTTGTGCAGGTCCCCACCCCCCGCAATGGTGCCACACGCCTTGCCACTCACCTTCTTATAAGGTCTTATGCCATATGTCCATATACGCCCCTCTACACCACCCCACCCCCACATTCGCATGCCACATGCTTGTCCCATACTCTCCCCGCCCTCACCTGCTTATGGTTCCCACCGTGTCACCACAGCAACCGCCTGCCTGACAGCAGTGCAAAGATCACCGCGGAAGTGTAACCACTCAACGAGTTCCCCAGGCCTTACAATCACACCCTACCCTAAAACCCGGAACCCAACACACCCTAAACCCTGAAAACCCCTCACCTGCTTGTGGTTGCCTCCATGCCACCGCCGCAGCCTCCGTCCCGACAGCAGAGCAAAGATGAACGACGAGGTGTATCCCCTCAGCGAGTTGCCCAGCCCAAACCGCATTTTCATGCCACACGCATTCCCATCACACCCTCACCTGCTTGTGGTTCCCCCCGTGCCACCGCAGCAGCCTCCGTCCCGACAGCAGAGCAAAGATGAACGACGAGGTGTACGCCCTCAGGGAGTTCCCCAGCCCAAACCGTGGCATCCAAATGAGCCAGCGCTCCTTCAGCATGAAATCCCGTTGGTCTTGAGGAACAGGAACGGGCTGCTTGTGATTTTGCTTCTCCTGCTGGCGCTGCACAGTGCTGAGAAGCTTCAGCTCTGAAACTCCAGCGTCCGAGCCCCAGACGGGGAGGTTGACATAGGCTGATTCAGGGAGGATACCTCCACATGAGGGGGTGTTCTGAACGAGCGGGGGAGGGGGAAGGGGATAGGGCGGAAGGAGGAATGCGCTTGTGATTCTCTTGCTGGAGTTGCAATTCGCCGCGAAAAGATTGAGCTCTGAAACACCAGCGTCAGTCAGAGATCCATATGGGGAGTGGCATGGGCTGATTCGGGGAGGATTAGGCATGAGCCCGGGCCAGGCAGGTACACCGGTCAGGTCAGGTCAGGTCGGGTCAGGTCAGGTCGGGTCAGGTCGGGTCGGGTCGGGTCGGGTCAGGTCGGCTTAGGTCGGGTCGGGTCAGGTCAGGTCGGGTCAGGTCGGGTCGGGTCGGGTCGGGTCGGGTCGGGTCGGGTCGGGTCGGGTCAGGTCGGCTTAGGTCGGGTCGGGTCAGGTACGCAGGCCTGACTCGCCCGGGGATAGAGTTCTGAGAATATTCGCCCGACTCGGGCAAAAAGCCGGGTTGATTCGGCCCGACCCGACCCGACCGGGTGTCCTGCTCATGCCTAGGGAGGATGCCTTTTCAAGAGGGTGTGCTCTGCAAAGGGTGTGGGAGAAGGAACGGAGAAGACAGAGTTACATGGACAATGCCCGTTGCGCTGGCGCCGTCCCGCAACACGGTCACTCCAGCTGACGCTCAGTCGACTTTCGAGACAATTCAGAACTTACCTTCACGCCGTACCTGGTGTCGTCGTACTCGGTGTCGTCGTACTCGGTGGCGCCACACCAGCTGAACCCCAGCCTCGCCACGGGCCACTGCCATTGGTAGCTGTCCTGGATCTGAGGTAGCAACACTTCACTTAGCTAAGCATTTCACTTACCTTGATGTCGTACCGGGCATCGCCCCGCATGAACATGCCGTGCCAGCTGGCGCCCAGCCTCGCTACGGGCCCAGTCCAGTTTTGATTCAACTCAACACTCACCTTGATGTCATACCCGGCATCGCCCCGCATGAACATGCCGTGCCAGCTGGCGCCCAGCCTCTCCACAGGCCACTGCCATTGGTAGTATCTTTGCGGGTCCGCTTTACTGCCCGCCTCCACACCAAGAATTTCCTCTTTATTGCCCGCCTCGTTTACCCACTGAAACGCCGATGAGGCTTTCTCCCACGGCCCGCCCACCCACCCATCCACCAGCCTCCTCCTCCTCCTTCTACTCCTTGGCTTCTCAATCGCTGTTCTCTCTGACTTCTCCGGCACCCCTGCCATCCATCCGTCCACCAGCCTCCTTCCCCTTTTTCCTCTCCTGGTGCTCTGCTTTTCAATCGCTGTTCTCTCAGTATTTTCCGGCACTCCTGCCATCCATCCGCCCACCAGCCTTCGTCTCCCATGGGCCGTCCTCCCAATTCCCGGCTTGGTTACTCCACTCACTCCTCTCCGCACCCCCACCAATCCCCTCAAACCACCCCCATCCCCCTCTTTCCGCCTGCTACTCCTAATCCCCATGCTAATCCCCGTGCTAATCCCCGTGCTCTTTCTCGTCCTTTGACCCTCAACACCCCCCTGCCCTTCCCTTTGAACACTGCTTTCTCCTTTCCACGCATGGATCTCCCTAAAGACAGACTCGATAATGTCTCTCTCTTCCCCTTCCGGGCGTACCTCCCCTTCCTCCCCCTCCTCCCCCTCGTCGGTCAAATCGTTCCCGTCCCTTTCATCGTCATCACTCATCTCAAAATCCTCTCCCTCTTCTTCCCTCTCCATCGCTCTATCTCCAGTGCCCTCTTTCCATTCACCACCACTACTAGCACGAGGCTCACTGCTGCTTTCCATCTGAACCAACCCTGATCCTTCGGGTTTATCTCCGCCGTCCATCTCTCTACCAGTAGATCCCTCCTCTCTGCTATCTTGGTCCGTTTCTGATCGTCCATTCCCCACCCCACGCCTCTCCTCCAACTCTTTCTTCCCCTTCGCTACAGTCACATCGTTCCAGTCGCATCCCTCCCATTCCTCGCACGGAAGAACTAGTTCTAACCGCGGGTCGCAAGTTGCCGGCGGCAGTCGCTTCCCACCTGACGGCCGGTAGCTCTTCGCCAGAGAATTATTGCTCCGCTGGATAACCGCATCATATCTTTCGGTCGGCGGTATCCAACGGTCATTGCCCGTCCCTCGAGAGTATGTGAACAATGCTTGATGGCCGTCAGTTGACGGGTATTTCCCGTTAGAGAATTGCGGAGAGTGTGACGCGGTAGTGACTGGTACTAGCCGAACCAGCAGTAGAAATAGTAGTGTGATACTGCAAACGATTACAATAACGCCAGCTGAGGCTACCATATTAGTGGACACAAGGAGAACAACTACTAGTAGTAGTGGTGCTAATTTCGCCGCAGAAGGATTTTTTCTCGGAAAAGGTGTCGGAAACCCCACAAACCGCTATGGGGGAATCGCTAGGTGGTTCACTTTCTTTCGCACACGAGACAGAAAAGTCACTCTAATGCAAACTGACGAGAAGCTGTTAGTTGCAAGCATCATGTTCACGTCAAGCTGTTGGTAGTTGCAAGCAAACATGTTCACGCGATTGACAAGAGCTATGGCGGCCAGGCTGGATTCAGAAATCCGCTTTGGTAAGTGGGTGAAGGTGTTTGTGGGGGCGGGGGGTATGGTTCTCTTCTCGCTTGGAGTGGCTCTTTTTGATTGGCTGGCCTACGTCACTCTCCGTTCTGATGTGTAGCTTCGATGTTTGACGAGATGCACGAATCCGGTTTGTATATGTTTCACCGTCACTTCACATGGTTGGATTGCCCGGCTTGGTTTGCTTGCGTCACAACCCAGTCTGCGTCACATTCGCGAAACATGTTGCCCCGTTAAATGTTTCCTTGCTGGTAGTCGTGACAGTTCGCTATCACTGTTCACCAGTATGGACTGGTTCACTCATCACCAACACTCTCCCATGAACTGCCTTCATGATGCGTCCCTCAATTCCGGACCTACGATCGACCGTGCAAATTCGAACCTCCTCCTGCGTTTTGCATTTTAAATCTCTCAAACCTCTTCCAACCACTCCAAAGATCGAGGGATGAGGGCCACGGTCACTGTTCTCAACAATGATCCCCGCGTTACAGCCGCTATGGATTCTCAAAAACGGTCGAGCCCGTGAACAGTGCTATACGTGGTGGAGTCAGATGCGCACTAAGGAAGGATATATTTCCCTTGCAAAGCTGCGGAAAAACCACGCGGAGCTCTCACAACTTCCATGTTTTAGGTCCCCACAATTCGTGAACCCAAATATGTCGCGTACTGAACATATGCCTTCTCGTCTATCTTTGCTTTCTCGGACCTGTAAAGTGGTACGGTAGTCTTCTTCCCGCAGGTCAGGTCCAAGATTTCTGGGACCGAAAGCGCAGCGGTCGGCACTCCTGCCTGACCGTTCGCTAAGGGCGCGTGTGGTCTTTGAAATTTGTAAAAGTTTATGTTTTTAGGGCGAATTTAAGTTTTGAACTTACTACGAAAGAAGTTCGAATTTCCTTCTATCGAAGTTCGAACATCGGGCTTACCACACTGTAAAAAATCACACACACATACAAGGTCGAACCCCGACATTCGAACTTGTAAAAGCGAGCCGAGCCGCACGTCAACATCATAGGTTACCCGGTTCGCTCGTCTTGACAGTGCGCCACGTCAACATTTTGCGCCTCGGTTTACAAGGACCTAGAGCTCCAACTCACCTTCCGCGCCGAGTGTGTAACCAGGGTACAAATAGCCCCCATGGCAACACCTTGTATACTCGTCATTCGCCCAACATGACAACCCTACAGCTGGTCCGCTTTCTCGGCATCGTATGGCAAGGGTACTTGCAGATGGTGATGCTTCCCGTTCTCAACGTTGTTGGCACGGCACTCCCCACGCTCGTCTCGGCCTTCACTCTCAGGCAGACCCGGGTGTTCGTGCTTGGCGACCGCCTTGACGCACGTGTGCGTTGGTTTCGACTGATAACATCCTTGCCCGAGGACAATTTCTATGAGTATTTGCGGGTTGACAAACGCGTTTTCGTTTACTTAGTGCGCCAGTATCAGCGCAGCCGTTTCGCTACACTTAAGCATCCTGTGCATAACTTTGTATTCGTCGCCTTCCACTCCGAGACGCTACACTTAAGACATTTGGTGCGGGGGACGTGGATTGGGCAAGGGCGGGAGTTTCTTTGACTGACGTCAAGACGGGCGGGACGCGTTGCCACATCGTGCTCGAACGTGCCACGATGCTGGACACGTGGCTACCACTGTGTGCACGAATTGTGGGGTGTCTTCGTTGTGCAACTTCATGCACTGGCGAAGCGCTTGCCCGTTTCGCCAGCTGTTCGGACGTGCTGCAAATCACACACGCTCGCATGAACGTGCGCACGCACGTTCCCGCCTCCGACTCGAGTCAAGTTCATATTTCAAATTCGAGCTTTTGCAGAGCCCATACAATGCTTGGTTCGCGAAGCACCCTTCGCGAAATTAACGAATAGGGTAACCACCCAAAGTTCTAACTTCATTTTGAACTTCTAAACAGACCACACGCGCCCTAATTCGTTGCCAGCATTGCATCTCACATTTAGATCTCAACGGAAGCCACCATCCTCGTTTCGTTGAATTCACGTCAAATCACGTCTAAGTAGTCACCTGCGTTCCCGTTTATCACGCCGTAAGCCCCGCATTGCTTCTTCTACAACCTTAAATTCTAAATGGCGTAACCTAGATTATTTTTATACATCAACCATCAAGAGTACAATTATTTCAGGGCAAAGGGGAATCGAAGATTTCGAAGTCGGAAACGACAGCTTCTGGAGCCAACTCCCGTGTCTGTCTTATTGATCACCAGCTTTCAATCTCGACCGTCCGTTTAGCACCAGGGAATCATGGCGATATCGGAGTCCGTCGGCAGGAAGATCGCTCTGAGCTACTTATACGTGCTCGTGTGGATCGTTTTAAGCTTCTCCGTTATTGTGTTCAACAAGTACATTCTCGACAGGAAGCTGTACAACTGGCCTTACCCTATCAGGTGCGTCTCTATTGCGCGTGTGCTACCTTCGCGCCCCATCATCTCACCCTACCAACATATTACCCCGCAATTCCACCCTCCATTTCCACCCCCATTCAACTCCACCATCCCCGCCTTCCCCTTCAACCCCGTCTTTTCCGCCCATCATTCGCCCCATTAATCCGCCCATCAGCCGCCCCATTAATCCGCCCATCATCCGCCCATCATCCGCCCATCATCCGCCCATCAGCCGCCCCATTAATCCGCCCATCATCCGCCCATCATCCGCCCATCATCCGCCCATCATCCGCCCATCATCCGCCCATCATCCGCCAATCACTCGCCCCCTCCGTCCGCCTCGTTTCCTTCCCAATCTCCCTCACCTTTACCGCGGAAGCTTCACAAACGACCTGCTTCTTTCCAATCCAGATGCTTCAACCCCCCTTACCCACCTCCCCGTTCTCCGTGCAACTGTTTTGTTTCAATTTTCTTCCGTCTTCTTCCCCACTGCTCGTCCCGTTTCCCCTAGTCCCGCTCCCGCCTGCTTTTTCGACTGCCCTCTTCCTGTTCCCACTTTCCCCCTGCTGCTCTCGCTTTCCCCCTGCTATTCCCGCTTCCCCCTGCTCCTCCCGCGTCCCCCTGCTCCTCCCGCTTTCCCCCTGCTTTTCCCGCTTCCCCCCTGCTGCTCCCGCTCTCCCCCTGCTGCTCCCGCTTTCCCCCTGCTGCTCCCACTTCCCCCCTGCTATTCCCGCGTCCTCCTGCTCCTCCCTCTTCCCCCTGCTCCTCCCTCTTCCCCCTGCTCCTCCCTCTTCCCCCTGCTCCTCCCGCTCCCCAATGCTGCTCCTGCTCCCCCCTGCCGTTCCCACTTCCCCCTGCTGCTCTCGCTTCCCCACGCTGCCCTCCTTCCCTTCGCTTTCCACACCCCTCCCCCGCCACCAGTCACACCATGGTCCACATGGCGTCACATCCGAGCTGCCCATTCCCTTTCCCTTTTTCTACCCCTCTTCGCCCCTCCACACCTACCAGTCACACCATGGTCCACATGGCGTCACATCCGAGCTGCCCATTCCCTCTCTCACATCCCCTCACTTCTCCCCTCCCCCGCCACCAGTCTCACAATGGTCCACATGGCCTTCTGCTCGCTCCTCGCCTTCCTTCTCGTCAAGGTCTTCCGAGTGGTCGAACCCATCACCCTCACTACAAATATGTACCTCACCTCCCTGCTCCGCATGCCCTTTCTCCTCCGCTCCCCCCCCCCCCCTCCACATACCAGTCTCACAATGGTCCACATACCAGTCTCACAATGGTCCACATACCAGTCTCACAATGGTCCACATACCAGTCTCACAATGGTCCACATACCAGTCTCACAATGGTCCACATACCAGTCTCACAATGGTCCACATACCAGTCTCACAATGGTCCACATACCAGTCTCACAATGGTCGACATACCAGTCTCACAATGGTCCACATACCAGTCTCACAATGGTCGACATACCAGTCTCACAATGGTCCACATACCAGTCTCACAATGGTCCACATACCAGTCTCACAATGGTCCACATACCAGTCTCACAATGGTCCACATACCAGTCTCACAATGGTCCACATACCAGTCTCACAATGGTCGACATACCAGTCTCACAATGGTCCACATACCAGTCTCACAATGGTCCACATACCAGTCTCACAATGGTCGACATACCAGTCTCACAATGGTCCACATACCAGTCTCACAATGGTCCACATACCAGTCTCACAATGGTCCACATACCAGTCTCACAATGGTCCACATACCAGTCTCACAATGGTCCACATACCAGTCTCACAATGGTCCACATACCAGTCTCACAA